ATCAGAAGGAGTGAAAGTTGACAAAAACTTCCTTGTCAAATGGGGAGAGGTTCAGGAGTTTACCAACACTCATTATCCAAACAGAGCTGAGGCCAACAGGATCAATGATCTCTACAATGACACCCTTGCCCGTCATTTCCGACAGGTGCTGAAGAAGAGAGAGAAACAGACCACCTTGGACATGTTTTTCAAGAAGCCAGCTGCCAAAAAACAAAGGACGGAACAAGAGGAGATGACCCTGCAAGCTCCGGTAGCCTCTCCTGAATCTGACTCCGATTAAAAACAATAAAAAGAGACCTTCTGCAATGTGTAAAAAGTCTGTATCTGTATGAATGTGTGAAAAAAGTGTTCCTCTACCTCCTCACATCTGACTACCCAGCATAATTGGTGACTGCTCCATTTTCATTTTTTTTTATAGTACAGTATGGTTGTTTTATGCCATGGAACGAATTATATGTTTTAACATGTATTTCTATGGGAAAATGCGTTTCGTATAACGGACTTTTAACTTAATGGACATGCACCTGGAACAGATTAAGTACGTTATACGAGGCACCACTGTATATTAAAGTTCTTTACTAGAGATATAAGGTTTTTATGGTGTATAATTACAACTTCAATAAATAAAATGTGATAAAAAAAACTGTCATCTGAATAACCTATAATTCATTGATAATTCTTTTTATTTTTATAATTCTTTTTATTTCTATTAAGTGAATTCTGACAACAAACTAATTATAAACATTTAAAGCAATAGCCCTAGATTGACTGTAGAATGTTTTTTGTTTACTCACAACAGCATTACTTTCTGCCATTTTGTAAACAAAATTAGAACTAAAAATAACATCATAACAATTTTGATTTACTTGTTTCATTTTAAAGCTCTATAGTGTAGATATTTGTTTTATATTAATTAAAGTAACATTTGTATAGCTTAAGATTTAAATTATTATTACATTATTTAAAGTTAGAAGCTAACAAAAATCTAAACAATAATCAGATGAATAAATCAGTTTCAGCATTCTTCTGGAGGGTCTGACTATTATAATCTGTAGTCTTTAGATATAGAATTACACTGTTAGTTTGAATAAGTTGGTTGACAAGGAACAAAATATTTTTTAAACAAATTTTTATCAGACCCTTTCTACTTTATTTACCAAATAATACTAATAAAATATAAATACAGTGATCTCTCAGTTATATGACTCTAAAGGTACCAATGATTAAAGTTGTATAAGTGAGAGAGTTGTACAAAAGAGAGTTTGACCAACTTGAATGAAAAATGTTAAAAATATAACTACAATTATGCCATTTTAACTTGTTTTATCTAAACATATAGCCAGCAGCCATTCTCTTTCTGAAAACAGATGCTATGTCCAGTATGCTAATCCTCTTTGCTTTATTATCTTCCTGGGCACCTGTTTGCCTTATGGCAAAGTGACCTCACTTGGTTCTTGTGATTGACAATCATGACAGTAAAGTGAGTGAAAAATACAATATTCTGAAACATTTATAGGGGTGTACAACTGAGAGCATCATTTAACTAAGAGTCATTCAAATGAGAAATTTTAAATGTTATCTCTCCTAGGCTTCAGCCGAGACCAGTGAAAAACATCTCCAAACTGAATGTGTCACTTAAATTTGAGGCACATAAGTAAGAGGTCACTGTATTTGTTAAAAAAAAACTAAATAAAAATAATTTTAAGCTTGTTTATATAGCATAAGAATGACTGGTAAAGCAGACAGAAAAATGAATATTGCATCAGTAACAATATTTTTGAAGTTGTGAAGATTGGTATTAATTGAACACGTTAGTCAGAATATTTTCAATATTAAATTAAATTTCTGTTCTGAGTTTAGTAAGGTTTAAGCTGTGTTTATTTCAAAATAAAACCTTCAAAAAGGTAAATAGGAATGGTCAGCTCTTGAAAGAACTGTTAAATATATGCAAACTCTTTCTAGATTGTTGGGTGGCTTGGTATTGTTATTCTCTCTTGTTGTAAATCTAGGCAACAAATTGCAACTCACATAAGTCCAAAACAATCCAACAAATTCATTCAAAATTTAAGATATCCATAGAACTCATTATGAAAGCTAAATATTTTAAATTTCATCCAAATCAGTTCACTAGTCAGGGAGATATTAAGGATCAAAGTTGGCACTTTTAACATGTATGAGCTTTACTACAGAGAGTAAAATATAAATAAAAATTACAAAAAAATTTTTATTACACATTGTTATTTTTAACAATTTGTATTAACATAAATTTTTAAAAATAGATTTTATGTTAATACAAATTAAAAATTAATACAAATGCAAAATTGAGTTTCAGTTTTTTCTAGGGCAAGATAATAAATTTAAATAATAAAATTTCAATATAATTAAAAATGTTTCTTCCGTCAGTAGCTCATATAACACTATATTTTATACTATGGTAATTTCTTCTATTAAATCTATCTTAATCACTCTTAATTTCTTTAAATTTGTACATTCATATGGAATATGCTTTATTAAAAATGAAATGCTACAAAATTTAGAAGTTTCCTAAAGCAACAATATCTTCCTTTTATTAATAATTTCATTGAAATAAATACATTTTAAAATTTGGATAAACAAAACATTTTTGAAGTGGTTTTTACACATAAGTCTAATTACTGAAAGAAAACTGCTCAGGTATAAAGCTAATATATAATTTTCTGCTTACAACTACCTAGCAAAAATATCAGATCCAACAAAACATAGCATCAAAACTACAGAATGCTAACCTCTTACTATATAGGGCCACTAGATAGTGTTACTTAAGAAAAGTGAGAGTAAATAAATGTAAATTTTACTTCATTCTTGAATAATTTTCATTTTAAATCCCTTTAAACAGTTTATTCTCTTTGTTGAGTTAATTGGGTTGCAATTTGAAAAAATTGTAGATCTATAAATTCCTACTGTCAACCGCCTGTCTGTCCTTCTTTAATCTCGAGAACAAAGTTAGATATTGATAGATGAAAGCCGAGACAAGCTATGAAAATGAGAGTTAGAGAGATAACTGGTATGACTTAATTGCTAAAGGAAAAGTATGATGTACAGGGGCAAGACACTACTAATTTGAAGGTGGAGAGCATATATTTTAATTAAATAAATTAAAAAATATAATGTGAGATAATTCATTCATATTAAAATATAACTACAATAATACATATTTTTTATTACTAAAACTATTGTAAGTATTAACAGTATGATAATGTAAAAATTGTCATTTTTAAGTTAAATGTATAATTAAATTCACTAAGGTATAAAAAAGGCATAAAAGTGGTACTATATATATATATATATATCTTTTATATTTGCAATTTTACAAATATCCAAACTTGATAGTTATGTATTAAAGCAAATGACTGCCAAATTATATCTGGCTATATTACTACTACTATTATTAATTATATGCTACATAATTTGGTTCTAGAGGCAAGCATTAGGTACCATCTTTTGTTAAATTTAATAATTATAATTAAATGAATATTTTAATAACTAAGAAGGTTCTGGAAGAATTGACCCAAAATGGGTCTCAAACCTGCAACTCCCACTTACCATGTGGTCACATTGCCAGTTACACTACCTGATCTTCTGTACGATCCTTGCTTCCAGAACTTATAAATAACCATACTTGGTTACTTATTAATATATTATTTTAATCATAATTATTATATTTAGGATGAAACAGTGTCAAATTACTTAGCATTTAATTAATAATAGTAGTAATAATATAGCCCTGATATAATGTGGCAATTGTTTGGCTTTAAAATTTGTAATTTTTAATCTGAAATGGACATAGCAATCCATTTTATCTGAAGTTTCAATTATCAATGGTAGCATTGATCCACTTTACCTCAGGTAATTGGAATGCTATTGTATTTAGTTTCAAAGATCACCAAAATTATCTTTTAATGAATTTTTACACTATTTAAAATGACTTTTAAAATGAATTTTAGCTGAATAGTCTTCTAAATTTTATTAATTCTAATTCCTATACTCTATTATCAGATTAATTCAAAGATTTCATTGAAATAATTTTCAATTTTGCATACTAAATACAATGAAATTTCAAAATATATTTAATGTAAAAAATGAAAAAAAAATTAATATGACATATTTTTAATTGTTAGTAAAGTTTACCTTGCAGCTTCAATCCCAAGAGTCTTTTCTACTTCACAAGTATTATTAGAAGTTGTCTCTATTCCTTTTACTCCTAGAATCATTTATAATTTTATTTATAAAAAATAAATTTATTTATAACAATAATTTAATCTTTAAATACTACTATTACTGTAACTGGAGAAGCACTAAACTTACATAATAGACCTACAAGACCTAATAAATTTACATACTACAAGATCTTTGCATCAATGCCTCCAAGAACACATAACATTGATAAGAAAGCAACAAACCACCACTGCTTTATCTACTCTAACCTTGCAGACACCCATATACGTCTAGACCAGGCAAACTTATACACATATCAAATAATGAAGCACACATATGGAATTTAGAAAATTCAAAATTTACAAGGCAGCAAGAGAAGAATCTGCCATCAACAACTCCCTGGCTTAGGCATGGAGGGCCTTATTCAAAATTAAAAAAATTACACCACAAAATCACACACATCACTAGCACAAACCAACCAATCAGGACTTATAAATGTTGAATTTTAAAGATTCCAACACACGTAGTGTTTTATTTTTAGAAATGAAAACTAACATTATTCTGTTTGAAAGACTTTAGAACTTTACAAGACGGGGCTTAAGACCATCAAAAACATTTGCTGTACAGTGTAAATATTAAATTTTACTGCTAAAGTGCAAATGTATTATGTAAGCTTAATAATTTAATCTTTATAGTAATCATTTTCATAAATAAATGATTAAATCTTCTGTCTTTCAGTAAAAATATTCCAAAAAATTTTATGAATGCTAAAAAAATTTAAAATCTTTATTTTCATCCTTAGTTAAAATTCAATTTTATTTAATGTTTGAATCAAATGTTACTCTGTTCTAACCACTTGATGCTTGAGAAAGGCATACTACATGCTGAAAACAAGTTATTTAGATAATTTTAGAATTCTAAATATTAATCATAGTTTTATATGTAATCATTTTTTATAATTTATATAAATAATTTTCAATCTATCTATTTTTAAATTCTATTTTTATTCTATTTATAACTTAATATTCTATTTTTAAGCTATTATCCATCATTGAAAAAACATAATACATTAACTACATTGAATCAAATGAATTTTTTCATTAAAATCAACAGAGAAGAGTTAGGAACTGTTATCAATTTTCCTAATTATGTGTATATTTGCTAATAAATAATTATGTGCTAATCACAAAAAGAACTATAATGGATAAGGGATAAAATAACAAATAATACAATATTGTATTTTTGCCAGAAAAATTATCATGAAAACTATTTACTAATGAAATTACATTTCGTAAAATTTCATTATTTATATTTTATAATTATCTTATTCTATATAAATAAAGTTATATTGGTTTCATTCACTGACATTAATTAAATAAATCAGTGCAAACTGTTAATATTAATCAAAAACTTCTAATTTTTAATTATAATTACAATAAAAGAGTCATTATTTTAATTTTGTTTGAAATTTACTTTTACAAACTCATCTTTATAATTCAGTTTGAAGCTTTGACATTTATTAAAGAAATTTCAATGAAAAAAGTTATTTAATAATATTAAGTAAATTTAACAAATAATACCCAAAGCTGTCCACTTCATACGTAAACAGTTATGAAATACATTTGATAGTGATAAAATTATTTCAATGTTGCATTGCATGCCTAGCAGATCCTTTTCAAATATATAAATTTAATGACAATATTGTTTCTTTCCAATATAATTTTTATGTTAATTCTTAAAACAAAATTGTTGTTAACTTTTTGTAATTGATATTTATTATAATATGAAATTTTATTACACAAAATATTTTGTAGAGAAATAAGAATAAATTCATTTAAAAATTTTTTTACCAGGAGTAGTTAATACAGATCTAAGGCCATCTCCCTCAACTAATAATTTATAACAAGGTTTTCCTTTTGAATCATCAATGTGTATCACAGCACGAGATACAGTAGGCAGACCCTATAAAAATTATAAATTTCATAACTCCAATGAATTACAATAAAGTTTTAAAATTTTTCTAATATACTACATATAAAATGAAAGAATAACTGATATTAAAGAACTCGATTCCATTTTTATTCTAAATCTTTCAAAACATATTTGCTTATAAATATTAAAATACTACAGAAATAAGATGTAGTGTCTATTCTACATATCTTTTTATATATTCATTGTTAATTTTATTATTAAAATAAAAACATATAAAAAATCTTTTAAGCTAATTACTTAAGTCTATATTATTTGTGTTATGATATATACAATTTCATTAAAATAATGATAATTCCAGTGATTCAAAATTTCATTAACTTGAAAATGTTTCTCAATTCCTTCCACTTTCAGGTATTAAGAATCAATTGTAATATGATTAATGCAATAACTTACTTTAATAATTACAGATGGGAGTTGCTCTTTTAATGTCTGCAAAACATAATATATTGAACTTTTTGCTGTTTCGGATGGTTTCACAGTTAAAATTGAATCACCAATTATTGATACATTTTCTTGCTTCACTTTCAATTTTGAAGTGCAGATAGAATATCGTATAGTTTCAGCATTGACTTCTAACTAAAAAAATTATATGTATTTTAATCATTCAAAAAAAAAAAAATTATAATTTATTTAATTATCAATATTTAGCATAATTTATTTATAAGTCATGATATATAAATATAAATACACAGTAATACCACCAAACAATTACCTTAAATAATCAGGCTATAACTCTGCTAATTTCAGATTAATACTAAGTAATTTGCTACTAGAGGTAGATATTAAATGTCATCTCTTAATTAAATTAATAATTATAATTTTAATAATTTAATAAATAATTTATTAAACTATTAATGTATTTATTAAACCAATTTCCTGTATTTTAGATCTATATCCAACTGAAGAGGGCTAAGTAAAGATAGCCAAAATGCTTCTTGGGATATGTTAATAAAAATGGTCTAAATAGCATAACAGTCTCATGTATGATAAGCCTGTAAGTTTAAATACAATATATACTGCTGGCCAAGTAAAATGCAACACCATGTAGGACTCTGAATATTGCAGGTTTTGCATTTTACTTAGCCAGCAGTGTATATATAAAATAGATATGTTCAAACAAGAAGTGTTTTAATAATACTATTATATTCTTTAGTAAGTTTTATTTCTAAACTTGTTTATCAATTTGAAAACATATTGACTTATAATAAAATCAGTTTTAAAATATATTATTATGTAAGGTTATATTGTCAAAATATCTATTATTATATTTATATTAATAAAAAATATTAACCTTTAATAATCGTATCCTATCCAGATCTAATTTTATTAACATAAAACAATCATCAGGTAAGAACACTTCTTCCATATATTCTGATACCTATAATAGTAATAATCTGTTAATCATATATTAGCTTAAAAGAAATTTTAAAAAATTTAATTTTAATGAAGAATTATGTATAAATCTTTAGCTTTATTACAATGAAATGATATCAATCAAATTTTATTGAAAGAATAACATAAAATAACAAAATACTATTTATATTATTAAAATGAACAGAATCATTAAATAGTTTGAATGAATTGATGGTGTAAAACAATTCAACCAATAGGTTAAACAAGTTAACACTATATTCTAATTTAAAATATAGTAATTCATCAACTTATGCAGATTCAAAATATGCAGTTGTGATACTTTGTCTTATAACTAGCAATGCTATCTATTATGTGTCATTTTGAATATAAACAACAGATAAGAAACATTTTAAGAAAGTAAAAGTACAAAATTTTCTTTTTGTAAGATGATGTTTACATGTAATTATCCTTTGAAATGAATATAAATGTAAAAAATGCATCATATTTAAGCACTATTCAACTTACACAGAAATATTTGAAATGAATTAGCCACATAAGTTTATGCTCATAAGTTGAGGCACAGTGCCTCAACTTATGTGGCTAATTCAGATATGTGGCATTTTATGTCTGTTCTCAACATACAATGAATACAAATGAATAATGAAGAATAGAAATTTAAAATTTATTAATTTTATAATAGTTATCATAGTTTTCAAAATTATTAAATAGAAATGAAATATTGTCTTTATGGTGTTAAAAATTTAAATTAAAAAATTGTATTTTTTTTTTACCTGAAGATGATTGTTTTATCATCAAAAGTACTTATAAATATGTTTGCTTTTTTTAACTCAATTTTCATTTTTTAATGCCATAAATGACAGTACAGTCATACCCCGACTTACGCGAACCCGGAGTTATGCGATTTTCAAATCTCGTCGATTCGTTTTTTTGTTTGAGCGCCACACAACTCTTGATTATTCACTCCCCCCACACTATTGTCCAGCTTACATGTTCGGACGTGTCGCGCGGAATCGACGCATAGCTACAATTTATTTTGTGTAATTTATTTCTGTTTGTTATATCTATGGAGACTTGAGAGACTCTATGTGGGAATTTCTTGTAACCGTGAACGAACTAAAAGGCGAGATAAGATTAACGAGAACATTTATTAGCTTATATACAACCGATTTGGATTTTACACAAAAGGCATCTGCAATCGTAAACTATTGACGAAAAAAGTATACATTTATCAGATAATAAACAAAGACTCATTTTGTAAACAATTTACCTTTTGTATATACAACTGACAAGATTACCTTTCAAATTATAAACAGACTCGATCTCAAGCGGTCTTTTGATCGTCGGACATACAAAAGAAATGAACAGATGGTGCCTAACTTAAGCACGGTTTACAATAACGAATATGATTAATCTTAACACTCTACTATGTCATCCAAACGAAGTAGAACTGATTCTTTTGCATTAAACAAGAAAAGAAAAACTTTATTTTTGGAATGTAAAGTTAACATTATTAAAGACTTCGATACAAAAATGAAAATTTGTAAATTGGCAAAGAAGTTTGATCTACCTGAATCGACGGTCAGAACAACTATAAAAGGTAAAGAAAAAATTCTCGAAGCTGTAAAAATGCTCAATCTTTAAATTCAAGCATCATTCGTAAATGTCACGGTATTATCGCTGAGATGGAAACAATGTTAAAATTATGGTGTAATAATCAAGTTAATGTGAAAAATTGTATAATAATATAATTTGTTATACGTATGCATTATCTAAGATTTTATTAAACATTTTTTTTCTAAATTATTGTTTTCTTTAGTCTCCGGTCCCAATTAAAAATAATTTGTATGTATTTATATGCAAAATTATACCCCGACTTACGCGAATTCGACTTACGCGGTTATCGCTCGATCCCACCTATCGCGTAAGTCCGGGGTATGACTGTATTTCACTTTTATTTTATTTGTTTTGGAATGTACCTAGATATATTACATTTCAAAATTACTCTTCAGTAATAATTAAAGTTGGTATTTAAAGGTTTTGTTGTTATTTCAAATAATTCAAAAAAAAAAAAAGTCAGGAGCTAAATTAAAACTTTCATGATAGGATACTAAAAACTTATTATTATTTTGCAACTATTCACTAACAAATAATATCAAATGACTAACAAACACATATTAAGGTAAACAACCAACAAATAATTTATAAAAAGTTTAGAACTAATTTAATACTAATCTAAATTAGAATTCTTAACATTTTTTATTCTAAAATTGTTTACTCTGTAATTATTTGTGTTTAGTCAAGAAAACATTGTTTTCTAAAACAATGTTTTCTTGACTAAACACAAATAATTACAGAGTAAACAATTTTATCTCTTCCTTGTTCTATATATATGTTCCTTAAAGTATAACAACAGCAGTATCATATAACAACAACTAGTGTTAAACAGCCAACATGTGCAAAAAATAGTGCACATTTGATTTGCTGCTTTTGCCAAAAGATCTTTTTCATTTCTAAATGAAAAAGATCTTTTGAGAATGAATAAAAGAACATATTTTTATGTTCATTTATTCATTCTACATATAATTTAATACTGTATATTTACTGATGCAAGCATATTGAATTATATTAATATTTATTAAATTATATAATTATATTTAAAATTGTATAATTACATTTTTATAAAAACATCTAAAGAATGAAAGAAATTAAATTAAAATATTTCCTAGCAAATATTACTAGATTATTATATTTTTTTATGTACTTACCTCACCAAGCAAAGTTTTTTCAATACGTCCCTTTACTTGTCGTGCTACTTCAGGATCATTATCAACTTCTAGAGCAGCAGTAATAACAGGAGTGCTAATTATGTGATTTGCATTAATAATTTCTTTTATACGTGGAACACCCTGAGTGATATCTGAATGTTAAATTTAACAACATACATATACATACATACATACATACATACATATATAACTTTTGTACAAAAAACAATTTAAATAAATAAACTGACGATTACATGTATAATTTCTAACATAAACTTTATCATAACTGAAATTTAAAAACTTGCCCAAATAGCATTACTTTTGTATAAGTTTTCAAAATTATAAAATTATAGTGGTGTAAAAAAACTATTATTTCTTTTGAATTCATCTTAGTCACCCACTGTACTCCTAATTTGAATATATGTGTATAAACTAATCCAAAAATTACAAAGTATAAAATAAAAGTTCAAAAAAATAATCATAATAATACCATGTATCAATTTTCAATTTCTGATAGGGTGATAGTTTTGAATATCATTCTAAAAATACTGTTTTGAATAGTTTATTTTGATTCAAGTGTTATTATTCCTTTAATAATTTCAAATTAGGCCTTCTCACTTTAATTATGGATTACTTACTAATGAATAACAAGTAAAATTGGTCTCTTTTCTTTCTTTCAAAACTATATAGTTTTATAGATGTAGTTTATAATCATAAAAATGTATTGCATACAAAGTATTTTGTTTTAAATTTTTAACAGTCAGCTTCAAAATTTTCAACTATTTAAAAAGAATAAAATAAAATATATTTTTTAAACTAACAATTTGTTTGTCTGTAAAATTGGTTTTTAAAATTTTTTAGATCAGATATGCAGATATAGGTATTTAGACACTTGATTATCTAGTAGTAGTTATTGTATAGTTAGATACATGAGTATATGATTATATTCAGCTTTCCAAAGCTCAGCACTAAATCAAATCAAGTATGGCAATTACTTAGTATACTTACAGAAATAAACTGCATAATTCTCTTATTTAAAATCTTTCATTTAAATTTTTAATTGTTGTTAGTCTATAGTTTGTCTAATGAAAGAACATTCAAGGTCATTTTTGACAAATTAGTTTCATTAATGATTAAGACACATGATTTAATAATTGTCATGCTAATAACATTGGTATAAATTAAATTTTGACAACAAAATTAATTATATACATTCAAAACAATAATCCTAGTATGATTATGCAATGTTTTGCTTTGTTTACACACAATAGCATTACTTTCTGCTATTTTCCTAACAAAATCAGAATTTAAGATGATGTCATTACCATTTATTGTTTCTATTTTAAACTCTACAGTAGTCATTTTATATTAATTAAATAATTTAAATTTTATTTAAATATTGTTATTGAATAACTTTCAAGTTAGAAGACACTGGTGAAATAAATCCTTGTTCAACATTTTCTAAAATGTTAAACAAAGAAATTGGATGAACACAATAAAATTTCAATATCTTATTGGATAGTCTGATCATTAAAATTCATCAGGCTTTATCACACAAGGAAGTTTATCTTTTATTGAATATATAAAAAATAATTGCACTAAAGGATACTCATAGAGGCTACACCGGCAAAATGAAACGTTTTTAAAGTCATCTGAGTAGCTGGTTCACCTATACTTTGTGCACAAACAGCTCCAACAGCTGTACCTAAATGAAATTTTGAATAATTAATGAAGTGTATTAGTTTCATTTACCATTATTTTTGAAATCTAAAAATAAAAATTATAACAAAATAAATATAAAAAATACAGACAAATATTTAAATTAAAACTTTCATGATAGGATACTAAAAACTTATTATTATTTTGCAACTATTCACTAACAAATAATATCAAATGACTAACAAACACATATTAAGGNTTATCACACAAGGAAGTTTATCTTTTATTGAATATATAAAAAATAATTGCACTAAAGGATACTCATAGAGGCTACACCGGCAAAATGAAACGTTTTTAAAGTCATCTGAGTAGCTGGTTCACCTATACTTTGTGCACAAACAGCTCCAACAGCTGTACCTAAATGAAATTTTGAATAATTAATGAAGTGTATTAGTTTCATTTACCATTATTTTTGAAATCTAAAAATAAAAATTATAACAAAATAAATATAAAAAATACAGACAAATATTTTTAATTATAATAAAATTTGAAGCAGCAATTTCAAATAATCTATAGTAAATATCAAAAATAAAGAAATTATTATAAAGCTAAACAACTGCCAAATTATTGGGGTAATTAATTAAACACTAAATAATTTGTCTAGAAGTAGGCAATTATGTTGCCATCTCATACTAGATTTAATAATTATAATAAATTTAATTTAATTTATTATAATTATTAAAAAAAACTCATAAATCAGGTTCATAAGCTGATATTTATATGTAGAAATTATTGTAAAATCAAAGTTTTCTTAAAATTTTATAATGATAAAATTACAATATTTTATCATTATAAAATGCAATAATTGCTGAGTTCTTAAGTCAATGTTGTCCAACTGGCAGCCTACCAATTCTATTGTTCCTTATTCAATATTTAAGTAGTGGTTGGCATTTGCATGCATTTTTAAAATCAATATTTTGTTTATATTAGAGCTACTAAACAAATTAGTATTTCAAAATGTTCTATCTGGTCTTTGAAATCTTTGATGTCTCTTGTTGTAATGAATGATGATTAACCTGATTTAGCATAAACAGTTCTAAAGACAATGTAATTTCTTATATCAATTCAATTTTCTGTTGTAAATATCATACTGATGATGTAGAGACTGTTATCAAAGCAATTACATTTAGGAACTTTGCAAATACTAAAAGCATAATAATAACACAATGCAGAATTTTGTTGTATTTAATCTCACTAGACATCTATTTGTTAGATTTATCATTAATTCTTGCATTTCCCTACACAGAATTCTAATTATAATTAGTAATCGCTGGCGACTCTGAAAACTACTAGGTTTTTAACATAGATTGCATGTCATATGTAAGAATGACCAATCACAAATTAAAAATTCAATTTCGTGAACACAAAGGCAATTTACTTTCAGAAAAGCATGACAAAGTTAGCATGTTTGATCCTGATAAATAATTTTACTGCAAACTGTGATTTGACAGAAACATTCACATGAATAGAAAAAGCATTTTGCTATAACCTAGTAAATATCTTGCTACATTAATTAATTATTCTATAAACTTTCCATAAACTATTCTTCAGATGATGTTTAGTAATTGCATTCTTATAAGTTAGTTGATAGTTTTTTGTTAAATTAAGATTAATTTCTATAAATTTAAAATTGCTAAATATGGGGGGGGGGCGTGTCAGGACGTCGAAGCTGCGAGTGACTTTTTTTGTGAACCTTACCTTAGGATAGTGAAGTGACAAATAATAGTCTGTTTGATTAATTTATTACTAAATAAGTGCAAACTAATATTATATTACTTCAATTTAAAGGAGGAAAGTAATATTTCAAAAAATAACATTATGCAAAGATCCCCAGTTAAGCGAGGAAGACCGCCACTTACAAGATCGAGAACAGAGAACAAACAAGATTATTCAGGTTCTTCAAGCTCAAAACTCATTACGGACTATGGAATACAGTTAAATAGTGATTTGCAAGAAGAAATAAGAGAGTCTAACCAGCAAAATTTATTGAGTTCAACAGGTGAGTCATCTAATATTAATTCAAATTCAGTTACAAATCTTGCAAGTCATTTTGACACTTCTACGGCACTCTTATGGTCTAAAATATCTGATTTAATAAAGGACTCTAATGATAAACTACTAGAACAAATGGTCTATATAAAAGAAGATATAGAAAACATACGTCAGGACATACGTGAGTCCAAGGAAAAACAGCTATACATGGAGAAGGAAATTAAAAATTTACAACAACAATTAGAACAACAAAAAAGTGAAAACGAACTAATGCAATTCAAAATAGATTCTTTAAATAATGATTATAATTATAAAAAAGTAATAGTATACAATTATCCTGTTGAAAAATCTATATCTACATCAGAAATATATAAGTTTATGACAAATGTACTTAATATTAATGACATATCCCAATCTGATATAATAGAAACAAACTTAATAACAAAGAAACCTAACATAGTAGTAAGAATAATATTTAATAATAAGCAAATCCGTGATAAATTCTTCTATACTTTTATTCAAAAGAAACAACTAAGAAATACATCAAATGAATGGAAAGACATGCAAATGGCACCAGAATTAACCAAAAACTCAAGATTAAGAAGGAAAAAGTTACTCCCAATTTTTTATGAATGGCGAAAACAAAAAGATCAAGTTAAACTTCGTAACGATATATTAATGATAAATCAAGAAAAAATAACATATAGTTTAAAATTGTGTAAATTGGTTTATGTAAACAACTTTCATCCTTATAGTGACCAAATAGATATGAACAGCTGATACCATGACAAACAAAAATATAATCATTATAATAGAATCATAAAAAATAATCAAATGGTTTCCATTGTAAACTGGAATGGTCAAGGAATAAAAAATAAAATGTCATCAATAGTTAAAATTTGCACTAAATACGAACCGGATATTTTAGCAATTACAGAAACTTGGATTACTTCAAATTTATATTATAATAAAAAATTTTTCAACGATTATATAATAGAAGCGATACAAGCACAGAAACCGATTGGTCCGGGTCGGCCTAGCGGAGGAGTATGCATCCTTATAAAAAAGAACTTTGGGAAAATAATTGATATAAAAAAATTCAATAATTATATGATAATTCTTATCTCACCACTGAAGACTATCTTAGAAGATAAAATTAATAAATTCATAACATTATTAATAGCATATATTCAGCCTGATGATTTAAATAATTTAAAAAATTGTTTCAAAGTATTAGAAAGCTGGATACATATTTCTCCACTCATCTTAATAATGGGAGATTTTAATGCAAGGATTGGTGAATTAACAGACTCAAAATATAAAGGAACCAATCAATGCATAACTAATAATCGTATTTCAAAAGATAAGCAAACTAATAGATTGGGAAAATATCTTATCGAGTTACTAAAAGAACACAGATTATTTTTACTGAATGGTAGAATGCAACAGGATATTCCTGCTGAACACACTTGTTTAACTAATATGGGTGCTTCGACAATAGATTTCACTATCTGTTCTGAACAACTTTTGGATTATTGTGTGGAATTTCGAATTACGAATCTTGATAGTTCAGACCACTTTCCTACAATAGCAAAATTTCGCTTGTTTCCTTCTGAGAATTTAAATAATATAGAAAATTACAACTTCAAGATAAAGTATAAACTGGATAAATATAGATCGGAAATTGATACTCGATTAAAAAATATGCCGGAAGTAACTAACTACAATTGTGAAGAAGTATATAAAACATTCATAAATACAATGAATGATTACATAATAATAAGCAAAAATAAAAAATATATGCAAAATAAAAATATAAAAATCTGGTATGATGGTGATTGTCACAAAGGAAAACTCCGAAAGCAACAAAAATTAAAAATGTATAGACAAAATCCTAATCATGAAAATTTAATTAATTATAAAAATTCCAAACGAACTTATAATAACTTAATTAATACAAAAAAGAAAAACTACCTTCGCAGAATTGAATTAAATCTGATTAATAATACTAATAATAGCAAAGTATTTTGGAATACTATCAAAAGATTTCGAACAAAAGATAATTTAGGAAGTAGTAACATTGGAATAAGTTTTGAAAACTGGAAAAAATTCTATCAAAAATTCATCATAAACAACATAAAAATTCCAACGGAAAGAAATTACTATAGTGATGAGTATTTAAATGCTGATATGACTATGAACGAATTGGAGGAAGTTATTCAAAAAACCAAGAACAATACTACCCCTGGAGACGATAATATACCATCTAAATTCTTAAAAATTCTATCAATAGAATCCAAAATAAAACTATTGAAACTATTTAATACAATGTACAAAACATTATCCTATCCTGAATCATGGAATTCAATAATAATGACGATGATATACAAAAAGGGAGACCAAATGTCTCCAGAAAATTATAGACCTATAGCTCTGTTATCTACACTCAGAAAATGTTTTACATCGATACTGGCAATAAAATTTCAACATTGGATCAAAACCTATGAGTTGGAAGCAGAATTTCAGTTTGCTTATACAAAAAATAAAGGCACCGAATCTGCAATATTTACCTTAATGATGATTATTCAAATATATTTAGTTAAAAAACATAGAAAAATATATGCCGCATTTATAGATATAACAAAGGCATTCGACTCAGTATATGTACCACTACTACAACAAAAACTTAAGGAAAATGGTGCAAGTTCCCAATTTATAGAAACAATATCATTACTATTTCAAAATTACAAAATAAAGATTAAGCAAAATAAGAATACTCTTCCACCAATAAGGCATTCACGTGGTGTACTTCAAGGAGACCCACTATCTCCATATCTATTTAATTTTTATCTGGCAGATATAGATTATCTTTTCTCTGAAGCAGATGATGGAGTAATCATAGGAAATAAAGCATTCCATTATATATTGTTTGCGGATGATCTGGTCGTGATAGCACCGACAAAAATCTCACTCCAAAGGAAAATAAACCAAATAAATTTGTATTTCAAGTCCAAATATTTAGCAATTAATCCAAGCAAAACTAAAATAATTATCTTTCGGAATAACAGTAAAATATCCATCAATGAAACAAAAATTTATCTCGAAAAAATTTTACTACAAACAGTGAATGAAATAAATTACCTAGGAGTTAATTTCGACTGGAATCTAACATTTAAATCGCATATATCTAAACTTAAAAATAAAGTTAAACAAGCAATAGATAACCTTCTATTTTTGTGCAGCAAATTAAAAACTTCAGATTTAAGAATACATATGAAACTTTACAGCTCGATTATTAATCCAATGTTATTTTACGCCAGTCCTATTTGGTGCTTGGACTATTTCTACCAACTCGAACAATTCCACATTTATTATCTACGCAGACTATTTCACATAGAAAGAACAGTACCGGGATATGCACTACGTCATGAAACTAATCGAATATGGTTATTCCCGTTTATATTAAAGCGAATTATCAAATTCTTCTACAAACTTAATTTCAAATGTGATAATAATTTAACTATTTTATACCATGAAAATATTAGACAAAGTAAACTACAAAAAAATAAACAACTATGGTATAACAAGCTGCAAACTATCTTCAATTCCTTTGGAGTATCAGTTCTATTATTTAAAGATAAAATTCAAGATTGGAAAACAGGTTATTCATTGATGTTAGAATCAGCTATAGCTCAATCTATAACAAAAGATCAGGACTCTCTTTATAGCAGTAAATATCACTCGTGGTACTTGGATATATTTGAAATACCTTCAATGCAATCATATATATGGCAATCGGTAAATTTGAACATAAAACGATTTATAATGCAACTTCGTCTAAACAAATATTCGCTGTATGTTAACAATACTTATATAAGTTTACTAACTAAATGTTTTTTATGTAATGCTGACGTTTTAACACCTTACCATTTGATATTAACATGTCCAAAGTTAAAGGAACTTCGTGAACATTATGATATAAATAGCACTTATAAATGCAACTCGCTAATAGAATTGTTAAAAAATTTTAACAATATGAGTAAAAAAGAATTATATAATATTTATAATTATTTTTGTAAAATAATAGAAACTTATAATAACAAAATAAATTAAATTAAAGAATATGTGAATATGTACGCAAGTAATAAGTGCAAATTAAATAATTAATGAAAAAATATTGTTATATTAAAGATAAATACGGACACATGAAACTACAACCCCTTGTAATAGGGAAGTAATTCCCATTAGACAATAAACTTTTTCTGAAAATTGCTAAATATATAATGTTTTATTTTCCAATTATTTCATTTAAAATATAATTGTTTAATTTATACAGTGTGTTTTTATTTGAGTTAAAGTAATGATCCGTGTATATATACTTTATTTGTAATAAAATACCTCAAGTTAAATCAAAGAATCATTAAAGATTAAACTATTTAGGACACTGTAGGGAGAATACTCAACACAGTATCCTTTTAAAGTAATTAATGATTTATAATTAATTTTAATTATAAAACTATTTTAATAAGCCTCTTTATAAATAAAATTAAAAATAATAGCTTAAAAATAACATATACATTATTTTTAAATAAGCTTGATCCATATTAATAAATGAGAACAAATCTGTAGTCTGTTACATCTTTGTTTATTTACAGCAATTTTTAAAATGAATAAAAACATTATTAATTTATATGTATATACCATATATAATTTACATCAGAATTTTTCATGAAATAAAGCAAAATGCAGTAGCTAAAATTTTAGTAATTAAATACTGCAATAGGAATATGTTATATTTTTAACTGTTGTCTTACAAATTATTAAGTTATTTAAACAGTACTTAAGTTAGTTCATACCTGGTTCTAACATTGCTCTTAAATACTTCTCCTTACATATATCAAAAAATTTTTGAAGTTGTGTTACTGTAATTCTTTCCAATTGCTTGAACACTATAACAAAAACATATAAAAATTAACATATTGTATTTCAACACAAATAAAAGCATGTTCTTATATATGAAAACTGCTTGTTTTCACATTTTTGAAAACATGTCTTGCTTTGCTTATAAGAGCATACCTCGCATATAAAAGCTTATTTTGGCTTATAATGTAAATGTACTGACATGGTAACTATTCAGTGACATCTTTGTGACATTATTAAAAATATAAAACTAAAATAAAATAAACTATGAAATTAAAATACAAAAACACTTCCAATACTCATAAAAGTTTTTAAAAATAGCAAGTTTTTTTAGACCCTTTGCAGAATATAATGCAAATTTTGTCTCATCTGTAAGAGCATGCTCTTATATACACAAAAATACAGTATGTCAAATTTTGCTTCCTTTTCAGACCATTAACTTCTATTGATGCATGTTCATTTTCTGCTGGCACATGACTTGTGGCATCATATGATGGCTTGTGATGTAATCATTGTAGTAGTGCAGAAATAAAAAAAGTAAACAATTTTTTAAAGTTTATTTTCTGGACTTCTGAAACTTTTTGTTTAGCAAGCAAATGCAATAGCCACATTATGCTTGACACACATCCTCTGAAACTTTTTTGCTCAGCAACAAAATGTGAATACCCCATTTGTCTACATTTGGAGTTGTTCTTGTGCAAATGCACAGTTTTCTCAAGCCATAGTGGGTCCAGGATATAACTAAAGAATCTGTTAGAAAACCAATATGGATTTTGAAAATATAACTAGTTAAATTATTTACACAAGTATTAGACACACAAGTCGATATGAACTATTAAATAAAAAAGTAATACTACTTAATAATACCCTGTGTAGAAAATTGAAATGATGCCCCCTTCTTGGACCATTAATTTTATTCTGGCAAGTGGCTTGTGGATTTAATTTCTTTTCTCTAAATAAACTCAGGCATAGAGAGCAATACAAAATGTATTATTTCCTACTGTTAATTATTATAATAATATGATATTGCATAATTTTATCATATACTGTATTTCTATCTTTTAGGATATCTACCTGGTTTGGGATTTTTCATTTTATCTATTCCAAATTTTCTTCTAACTTGTTCAAGTTTTTCTGCACATGAAGTGACATAATCTCTAGATATAAAATAAAGGTAAATGAATTAAATAATGTCTTATTTATATGAATAATGTTTAATGAAAATAATTTGACAACCTATAAAAATCAACATTTTTAAATAATTACAAAGATTGAAATGTTAAAAAGTAAATTTTTCCTTTCAATTAGGAAGATTCTCTGTAAATAATATACTGTATACAACAGCTAGTGTATATGCATACTTTATCTGTATGTGTTTTTTATTTTTATTTTTGATATGTGTCCAATATTTTTAATGTATGAGTAAGTTTAGTAGTAATTTATTATTCTAAAACAAATGATCACCTTAATTAATTGGGATATTTTTTTGCTACAATTAATACAATTATTAACTATAGCAAAAAAAATAACTGATTAATTATGGAGATCATTTGATTTAATATTAATACATAAGGCTTTGGAATGTTTATATTTATATATATATAAAAATCCCAAAATGATTTTACAAATAATAAATTATATATGAAGAATAATAAATAATATATATAATATTTATTATTCTTCAGGGTTATACAAAATCATTAGAATGAGGATAATTTACCAAAAATCTTTTTTAACAAGTTAACCAATTTAATATTTTGTGTATACAGTAGAATCCTGTTTTAATGAATCACTTGTGAAGCTAAAAGTTGTTCTGAGAATCCACTATATTGCAAACAACAGATTTCCCACATACCCAGGAAAATATCTGTTATTCAAAAAATTTTCATGTTTTAATCTTCTACAAATAAGAAATGCCAGTACTTAAAATTATCCAATCTCTTGAGATCTCTGTTCTTTAGTTTACAGAAAAGCATATGTTACGAGATTGCATAGCTCATTAGCACTTCATTTGACTTCACAGTTTGTTAAAAAATTTGTCCATCTCAATTTGTTTTGATGCTGCTTTTCTGCCTATTAAATACAACAATCACTTGATATTAATGTCATATATAGTCTGCTCTTTTATGCTGAAACTCATAAGGAAGGTCTTCATAAATTGGAAAGACTCAATGGCCTTGCTAAATTTCAGCACTACACTTGAACCAGCGTCAGAATGTTTCCTAGGTAGCTCCTCCTCAATCGTACATCCTATTGACTCTCTTTGTATTCCAGATGTAACAAATGCATCATTGAATTCTACAAATTCCTAGAAACACCCAAATATTAATTAAATGCAGAAAAGCACAAAGTTTACAATGGATGGGGATAAAAAATTTGTTATTTTGAGTTACAGATCTGCTAAAATGAGGTAAAATTACATTGATTTGGCAGGGCCCAGAAAAATCCATTATTCCGAGAAATCTGTTGTTTCACAATCCATTAAAATGAGATTCTACTATATATATATATACAGGCATACCTCGACTTACGCCGTTCCCGATTATACGTCGCTTGTTAAAAAAGTATATGGAAAAATAAAAATCAAGTTTAAGTCATTTTATTCGACTTTACGTCTGTCCGCCACAAATATTGAAGTCGTAATATCACTAGATAAACGTTTAAAGCACATAAAATCATATTAAAATATATACAAGTATGTACTGTATTTACAGTACACGCATTCGTAAATTTAGATTACTTTTTTTGTACTATATTAAAAACTAAAATTTATTTGTTTGTAAGCTTAAAATAGATTTTTATTAACCATATATTATTTAAAATGCTTTCCTAGTGATAAGTAGATTCGGAGACAGGTAAATTCGACTTACGTCGTTTTTCGACTTACGTCGTTTTCCTGGAACCAATTACCGACGTAAGGCGAGGTATACCTGTATATGTGTGTGTGTTGCAGTCAAAACCAGTTTTTAGTTAGGATGCGTTTTAACTAGTTGAAACTAGTTTATACTGGATGTCTTTGTTATAACTAGAATTTACTGCTAGTCAAAAATGAATTTGAGTTGAAACTAGTTTTAACTAGACAAAACTGGTTTTTACAAAATGGTTTAGGAAAAACTATTTCGACCGAGGTCAAAGTTCATTCAGCTAACACGTCATAACGCTTACAGTCTCTAATTACAATAGTAGCCAGTCAAGAAGACCCAGAAGCTGCAACTAGTAGCGAGGTTGAGGCAGAAGTTTTAAACATGAAAACGTGTACGACGGACGTTCAGTGCCGCTTTCCTGTCAGCCTAGAAGTTTGATAATGGTGTTTGGAATGTCGAGCATGATTCCACTGACTATCCAAACACCATTGTCAAACTTCTTGGCTTACAGGAAAGTGGCGCTGAACGTCTGACGTACAAGTTTTTGCGTTTGAAACGTCGGCCTCAACTTCGCTAATACCAGCTAGTGACGTAGATCCAGAATCTGTAGCTAATACGAATTGACAGACCCAAATAATAGCAGCCAGAGAAAAAGCTCATCTAAATTTGGGATAACAGGCCCAAAGAATGAAATTGGCTTTGGATTCAATACATGCTCCTGTAGAAATCAGTGATAATATAATTATACCAATCCCTAATGTCAACAGAGCAAAAGCAGATCTCCGTAATATTATCGGAGTGATTCTTCAAAAGGATGAACAAGGTTTGCATAAATTTAAAACAAAATTTGGGATACTCGATTGTGCCACTGTTTAATGTATCTAACTACGCAGTTAATTCGTTAATATTTTGAAGTCTAATTATTATGAAAAAAGTTGTTTCCTTTTTTGGGCACAATTTACCATAATTATTATTAATTAAAGATTCAATTTAAAATAAGTATGAACCTATTTGAAAACTTAAATGATCTACTTGATCAGGTCAGAATTCGACATGTCCAAAGAAAAATTCTTGCTACTAGAAAGAGTGCCAGAGACAAATGTATCTTTAAGAACTGCTGCCAGGAGAGCAGCCTTAGGAACAGGCCAAGGTTTTGTTCACTGTTTGTGTAAGAAGGCGTATATGTTGAAGATGTGCTTTTGTAAGAAAAAAGGCAACTTGTGTAACTCGAAATGCCATGATAGTTTGCCTTGCAATAACAAGTAATGTAGACTTAATTTTTATATTTATGTTCCTTTATTGAATGATTATTTTTGTATGACTTTAATTAATATTACTGTTGTTGTTTTAGAGTTAATATTGCTGACATGGCTCTGTGATTTTCCTTAAAAAATGTTCCTATGGTGTATAATTAATTTCGTATCGCTTTAATTAATTTTAATAACACAGATGTATGACCAATATTTTCAATAAATATTGTATTAAATAATACAAATGTTTTAATCCCAATCATGACTTTATTTATTTCCCCCAAACATATTTATGTAGCTAAAATTAGTTTTAACTAATGTTCAAAGTTAAAACTAGTTTTATCTAAAATCCAAACATGCACAGCAGTAAATTCTATTTATAACTAGGAAATTCTAGATGTAACAAAGACATCCAGTATAAACTATTTTCAACTAGTTAAAACGCGTCCTAACTAAAAACTGGTTTTGACTGCAACATATGTAAAAAGAAATATATTTAATATGAACTGTACACTACATAAACAAAATTAAATTACATACAAGTGATATAACAGATCAAAACTTAGAAATTGAACATATATATTGCACATTTCAGTTAAACAACTATCCCAACAGAATTATTGACAAATGGCTACACAATTATACTATAAAACAAACAATACCTAAAACACCAATAATTTGTAAAAAACTAGATTACCCACCAGTAATTTTTGAAAAAATACAAAAAATATTAACACCATACAATATTATTCTAGTCCCCACAATGAACAACAAAATCAAAATTTCCTGAAAATCAGAGAATCAATTAATAGAAAATAGATGTAATAATTTGGTTTATATTTTCACTTGGACTTGTCAACCAGATTACTACTACATAACTATGTAGATAAGTGAAACAGATAGAATGTTAAAAGTCAGAATAAGAAAACATATATGAGCTGTGAAGTATAGTTACTAGGGTTTCTCATTTCCCGGTCTTTTGCTTGTCCCGGGATTCTGAGATAAAAGTGAACTGTTTCCTGGATCCCAGAATAGAATTAATTATTTTTAAGATATACAAAATATCTCGAAATCAAACAATATAATTATTTTTCATTTTTTAAAGTAATTTAATATGTTCTGCAACCTCCAAAATCATATTAATAATGCTGTGTAAGATATGTATTAAAAATTACCTTTGAATTACATAGAAATTTTCATAAATAGAAAAAATTTATTAAAGTTTGCTGGAAACTGCATACAACAACAACAAAAATACCTTTGAATTGAGTTGAAAAATTAAGGAATAAAATGAATTTAGATCAAACTTCTAAGTTAGAAGGTAATTTTCAATATTTAAATAAAACATAATACAAAATGTTATTGTAAATTTTTATAATAAGATTTTAAAAAGCAAAGATGGTGAATATTCCAATCACTCAATCTGATTCTTATTTTACTAAAGAAAAGTCTGCTACTGAGAATGCCCTTTCTGATTCAATTGATGTGGGTGGAATCGTGTTTAATGCATTTAAGAGAAGACAGATGTTATGTGTTTTTTCACCTGTAGCCTGGACGATTTCTAGTTCCTTTTGAAGATTGTAGTACTTCTTTTGATACTTTTGTTGATGGAAGTACTGGCTTATGTAAATCCAAAAGCAGCTCGAAAAATTATTTTTAGAAAATTTACCAACATATTACACTGTTGATGGTAGAAGATGCTGTGAAAGAACAAACCTAATCCTACAAAATTTTGATAAGCTATTATGAACACAAATNATTAATTGTTTTTAGCAATTTTTAATAAATTCCATTTTAACTTTTAGTTTAAAATTATTCTAGAAACATTTCACAACAAAAACTTCGTTCTTATCTAGCTTTTATTCTTCTCGGATGTAGAAAATGAAGTAACGGTAGCCAACTACAGCTTTCCGCACTCAATATTGGCCCAACGATTCATCATACAAATACATGAAAATATGTGACATCACCGTTTGAAAATATAAAAAATTAGGCATCTTCCCCACTTACCATCTTACCCCGAATCACTATGCGTTGCAGTCAAACCAGTTTTTAGTTAGGATGCGTTTTAACTAGTTAAAACTAGTTTATACTGGATGTCTTTGTTAAAACCCGTTTTGTCTAGTTAAAACTAGAATTTACTGCTAGTCAAAAATGAATTTGAGTTAAAACTATTTTAACTAGACAAAATGGGTTTTAACAAAGACATTCAGTATAAACTAGTTTCAACTAATTAAAATGCGTTCTAACTAAAAACGGTAACATATATATATACAACTACACTTTGCTCTTGAGACTACTCTTGTTGGTCTAATTCTGACATCTTTGCAAGACTCTCCATATCTGAAATGTAATCTATAACAACTTTTGCCAGTATTCCTTGTACTCCAATATACCAAATTAATGAAATTTCATAATTGCCATTTTTGATTGTGTTCTTTCTTGTTTACAAGAGAAGCTTTATAGTGATATATCTTTTATTCTAGAAAATAAATTGGAATAATTTGAATGCTTCAAAGTGATTTCAACTCTGTCTATCAATACAATGCAGTCAAATCAATTGTCTTTCTTTGTTTGTACTTTGACTGGATAAACTATGAAACAATTTGCCTCTCTTTCTTTGGTTAAAACATTAATATACACAATATTGAGGCATTTTTCAACAAAGAAAATGAATTTCTAATGGAAATAAAATAAAAGAAACAGAGAAAAAAAAATCTTATGGAAAATATCTTCTAAACTATATACAGTCAGGTGACATGTTTTCAACGGCACTTTCAAGGTGTGGAAGTACAGAACATTTTAATTTTCGTTTTAGCAATTTTTTGCAAAATATATGCTGATGTAGGGTATATACAGCAATATGGAAATTATGATAGTTATATTTATAAATTAAATATGAAAAAATTTACTCTGCATTTCTCAAAAAATTAAATAATGAGAATAATGTAAGTTGCCATCATATTTGAAAAAGCCTAGTTATTTATTTATTTACAAAGAAATAAAAGTGATATCGCATAGACAATAAGTGCCTCCCCCAGTACAATTAGATAACATACCCAGTTAAAAATCATATAACAAATCAAAAAAAAATAAAAAAATACAAATGTGTAAATAAACATTAAAAACATTAATTATAATAAAGTATTTTTTTACAAATGGTTTTAAATTTGTGGAGATCTAGGTAAAATTTGCCCTCAAGATTTTCAATTGCTTTTTGGTGGTGATATAAAAAGGATTGAAAAGTGACATTCAAATGGCAAAATGGTGTGTAAATACAGAAATTTTGTATTGTGGTATCAGATGAGATATAAATGTGAAAGTAAAATTTATGGAAAATAAAATTTCAGTAAATCACAGCAGTATGTTTAGATTTCAAAAGCAAATACTATACTGTATTAAGTCTAGTAAACTTGTTTCTACTCCACATCTATTACCATTTTGCACAATTTATATTAACTTCATACAGTGGAACCCCGGTTAACAAACTTAATCCGTTCCGCAACTTCATTCGTTAACCGAAGCAATTTTTCCCATAGAAATTAATGCAAATGCAATTAATCCGTTCTAGTCTCCAAAATTNCTTCTTAGGTGAAGTATACTATATTATATATTGAAAAACTAGGACAGATTTTTAAAATTACTTTATTAAAAAATATTAACAATATTGGTGTATTGCTTAAAGTTTGATTAACAAATATATATTATTAAAAAAATTAATTTAATATTATAAGTGAGAGAGCTAAGCTTGGTGTAATGACACAAATTTTTTGATATTTGGTGCCATATTTGTCATTGGCAATGTTAAATCGGCATGTTCCACTGTTGACAATCTGTTTCTTTTCTTTGTTAGTATATTGCTGACTACGCTAAATCCTCTTTTGGCTAAATATGATCTTTGATATAGCCCATAAAGCCAGATATAATACTGAAATTTGCCTTTAAAGCCAAAATTTCAAAAAATTTTGAAATTTTGGCTTTAAAATTCAAAATTTCAAAAACTTTTCGAAACAATCTATCATTGAGAGCATTGCTTCTGATCTTGTTAACTGCTGTAATTACATACTGTAATGAGCAATGAAGGCAATCACTATGGTTTTTTGCAACTAAATGTTGTCTGTGAATTACACAATGCACAAAGACTACATTTGGTACCAACTTTTTCAAATATGAAATCAACCAATGGTTTTTATTATTGTCATTATTATTAAATTCTTATAACTCAATTAATTTAACTATTTGTATATCTAGTACCAGCTCTAGGCTTATCTGCATTCTGTGCAAGAAGTTTTGGCTGTCCCAGCTTGCTAATCAACATATAAATAGTGTAAATTTTGTCTTCATTTCCTCTTGTGCCCTGTGCTGCTGTTGCACAGTTTAACAGTAACACAGTCTATATCATACTTTCTATGACTTTCCAAAGTTTGATTTTTCAGTAACTTAAGCATATATAATTGTTTTCAAAATTTACTAAACTGGAACTTGATGACGGTTAATTAAATTATCTGAAAATATTTGGTCAGATAAAAAGGTCTTACTTTCTTTAAAACTGTTTATTTTAAATAGTAATAGTTTCCTATTTAATTAAAAAATTTCATTTGAAAACGTTGATTAATAATCTTTGTTTCATATAAGAAAGATCTAAATTTAAAATATTACCTGGAATTGCATTAGCTTTAGAAGAAGTAGCTGAGTGAAATTTCTTCAACCATTTTGAACAAGAATTGAAAGATATTTCGTTGGTTACATCAAAAACCAACACCAGTACAGATGGATTTTTCCACTATAAAGAAAATAATATTAAAAATAAACATTCACAGCCAGATACGAAACTTTTTCTTTGTTATTTATAAAAATTAATTTAATGCAAAATGATTAGAAATTATTTTCAAGAATTTAATATTAATTTATTGAAAGTAAAAAGTGTTTTTAACCAATAATATGTCATTATTTTTGCTTTTACAGAATTTTAATATGCTTTATATTTATTATGAATAATTTAAATTCTTAAAATTACTGAATTTAATATTTTTTCAGTTCAATTGCAGAATAATTTAATTTTTAATTCTTTAATAACTTATATAAAGATGAGTCTATATACAGTAGAGTCTCTGTAATCCACACATATTGGACAAGCAGGTGTTTACAGCAGATTGTCAGATTACTGGACATGTTGGACAGATAAGTGATGGGATATAGAAACTCTATTGTACACGAGTTAAATAAAATTTATATTTTCTCTGTGTTGAAACCATGTCCTTCTTTATATAACAACAATAATATAATATTCAAAAAAATAAAAATTATGATACCAAAAAATAAAATTTCTATCATTTTACTGGTAATTTTTTAATGAATTCAATAAGATCTTAATAATTTGTTGTAATTTGATAATGCTTGTTCTCTTATTACGTAAAACTTTGCAGTTAATTTACTGTTACACTGAAAGATATTTCTGTAAATTAAAAGTTACTCAGATTTAATAATTAAAACATATTAATAATTGTGGCTTCAGTGAAAATATAGTTTATTGCATGTAGAAATTTATGAATTCTAAAATTGATTTTTTAGTTTTTACCAAATAGTGCATTTAATTAAAAGTTTTAGACATCATTAAGATTAGTGAAAGAAATAAGTTGGCACTATCAGGCAGTTTGCTTATATTCAAATGTAGCTTAGATAGTAAAGCAAGTTGCAGATGTTTTAGCTTAAGTCTATTATGAAGAAAGTACAGGTATACCTCGCCTTACGTCGGTAATTGGTTCCAGGAGAACGACTTAAGTCGAAAAACGATGTAAGCCGAATTTACTTGTCTCCAAATCTACTTGTCACTAGGCTAAACCATAAATTGCCAATTCCGGTTCTGTATTTTATTTATTAATGCATTTTTAATAATGTATGGTTAATAAGGATCTATTTTATGCTTACAAACAAATAAATTTTAGTTTTTAATATAGTACAGAAAAAAAGTAATCTAAATTTATGAATGCATGTACTGTAAATACAGTACATACTTGTAAATGTATATATTTTAATATGATTTTATGTGCTTTAAACATTTTTCTAGTGATATTACGACTTCAATATTTGTGGCAGACAGATGTAAAGTCAAATAAAATGACTTAAACTTGATTTTTATTTTTCCATATACTTTTTTGACAACCGACGTATAATCGGGAACGACGTAACTCGAAACGACGTAAGTCAAGGTATACCTGTATAATAAAATTTCTTTATTAAATGTAATAAAATTTGATAATTTTGTTTATTATTATTATTATTATTATTACCATATATATTTTCAAAACCATTTTAAAAAATGAATAAGACATTAATATTTTTAAGATTTATCTAACAATACTTTAGCATGCAGTTTTAACTAAAAGATCTTTCTGCATAAATTACTAAAAACACAATTTTAACAAAAGCAACATTTTTATTAAAATTAGCCATAAAATAATGCAAAAATACACATAAAAGGTATTTTTCCCTAGCTATTTAGACTTCCTCACTTTTAAATCAAACAAAATGGACTTTTCAAAGAATAATGTTCCAATTTAAAGTTTAAATATCAGCAATATGAAAACGTTAACATCTTGTTGCTGGTATTTAAACTTTAATATTAATATAAATTTTTGAAAACATTTAAGCAGCATGGGGATCCTCAGCCCTCCAGGGATCTTTGGTATTATGAAGTCCTTCAGAGTCTAGTTACACTGCTGCATGTTAGCATACATTCATCAGCAACTATAGTGTAGACCAGTGATTCTCAAATGTTTTGAGTCACTGCCCTTTGCTTCCATAAACTTACACCCAATGTCCCCAACCCATTTTTACTTGTGAGAAAGGCCTGGAAATATTCTTAGAAAAGGTTTCTATGACTCTCACAATTTGTGTCCTTACTTACATTGTTGTCAATATCTGGAAACCATTAAATGCAAAGTTTCTTCTTACTTGTTTTAACAGAGGAAAGGGAAAGGTTGTCAATGACTCAAACCCTTGCATATGGCCACTGTTTGGTCCTGCCTCCAGTGCCCCCTTGCTTCTTTTTGCTCTCATAGATTTACTCCCTGGGATGGGTGCTACTGCAGGCCCCCAAAGGTGATAGTGCCTACTTTGGGAATCACTGATGTAGACAGTCCTTATGATACTATAGTTGCTGGTGACTTTTGTATTTTGTGTGTTGTTTATCTCATTTCACTTATCATTGTTAAGGATAAATATAAGAAAGATATAAGTTATCTTTCAATAGGAACCATAGCATTCTTCAAATTTTTTTTTTTATAAATCTAAGTGTTCTTTATTTCTAAAACTTCTCCACTAACCATCTCCACTGACTTCTTGTTTTCTAAAATTGTTTATTTCTCAATGCATTTTAATATATTGGGTTGAGTCATAAATAAGTTCCGTTAGCAAGTAGGTGTAAATGACTGTCGAATACTTGCCAGATGTTGTGTTGCTTCAACTGAGTTTTATTAGTGGCTATTAGCAAATAGTCCATAAATGTAAATTTTAACACTGAAGTGTCAATAATGTAATGAAAAATTGTTTCTGAATTCATTTAAAATGGAACATTTGAAAGTGCATGTACGCCATATCATGTTGTGGGAGTTTAAACTCGGCAATAATGCTACAGAAACAGCAAAAAAGATTTGCAATGTCTACGGCAATGGTGTAATTTCAGACAGAACAGTTCGAAAGTGGTTTACAAAATTTCGTTCTGGTGATTTCTCCTTAAAAGATGATGAAAGACCAGGCCGCTCCTCAGACTTCGATGATGATGTTTTAAAGGTCTTGATTGAGCAGAATCCACGGCAAACGACGAGGGAGTTAGCAGAGAAGCTGCACAGATCCCAATCAACTATCAATTGTCACCTCCAAAAGCTAGGAAAATTAAGCAAGCTGGGAGTTTGGGTTCCACATAACCTCAGTGAATGGAATAAGGCTGACAGAAGGTCGATAGCTGCTACCTTGCTTTCTTGGCAAAAAGAGGAATCATTTTTGGCTAAAATTGTTACGGGAGATGAAAAGTGGATCACATACGAAAATGTTATTCGAAAAAGACAATGGGTTGACAAAAATGATCAGCCACAACCGGACCCTAAGCCAAGTGTGCATGGAAGGAAAATTTTGTTGTGTGTATGGTGGGATCGTCGAGGAATTATCCATTTTGAGTTGTTGCCACGCAATGAAACTGTTACTGCAAATGTATACATACAACAGTTAGAGCAACTTCGGCTAAAACTTCATGAAAAGCGCCCTGCACTTGTTAACAGAAAAAAGATCACCTTATTGCATGACAATGCAAGATTACACAAGAAAAAATTTTGGAGTTTGGCTGGTCTGTTTTGCCTCATCCACCATATTCACCGGACCTGGCACCAACAGATTTCCATCTTTTCCGGGCACTGCAGAATGCTTTACAAGGGCAATGCTTCCAAAATGATGACCAAGTTCAGGAGTTCATCCAGGAGTTTTTTGATTCGAAACCACCAGAATTTTATGCAAGAGGAATTGACAAATTGCCCGAAAAATGGCAAGAAGTCATTAATAATGATGGTGAATATGTGATAGATTAAAGTCTATTGCTGTACATTTTATTGGCAAATAAATTTCAGTTTAGAAAACGGAACTTATTTATGACTCAACCTAATACAAAAAATTTAAGCTTCAGTGGTATAGAGTAAACGCCATTTCATATTTAATATATTCCTAATTCAATTTTCAAATAGCTCAATAATGCTTTGAAAACATGGAAGGAATATAGTTAGTGTTCAGGATATACTATTGAGGTATCATTATGCAACCTTGGTTGGTCTGGCAAAACTGGACCAACAAAGGCTTTGGAACCAAGTATGTCAGGAAAATGGTGATGAACATGTAACATATTAATGCAAATAAAATGACAATTATATGTACATGTGCACATAAGATTAACAATTAAGCTCTGTATTCTTTAATCTCAAAAGACACTGTGGCCATTTGGTCTTTTTCAAGTGCCTCAAAATATACAAAAAACAAACAACAGAGGAACAAAAAGCATCCAAAAAAAAAAAAAATACAAATGCAACAATAGCCAAAAAAAAATTTTCACTGCACTTAAACAGAAAAGCATAATTTATCTGTTGTAGTCAAAATACCTTTGAAAAATTTACTTCCCCTCTTCCTACATTTTTACTCTTTTTTTTTTTTTGGTGTATATCAATTATCATTATTTTTTCTTTTTATAAATTTTGAGTAGAAAGGAAAAAGTCTTTGATTTACAGAACCGTTGTTTTTTTTTTTTTTCAGTTAAAAGGTTTTTACTTTAAAGATCTGGCTGAGGGTTTTTTTCTTATGTTTAAGTTGAATTTCTTCTTGTTAGTTATCTCTTAAAAATCTTTATATAACAAGTTCCAGTATTTTATCATTTGAAAGACTGGAGCAGTTTGTCCAACTGAAAGTTTTGTTGAGAGTTTTAAAAAGTTATAGTTTAGACTATGGCAGTAGTTTTCCTTCATGTGATGATTTTCAATAATGTTTAGAAGATAACTGTTATGCGTTTTAAGCCTTATAAATTTAAAGGAGAGAAGTACAGTTTGCTTTGCATATAAGGTTTTTATGTTATCGATTTTTTCTTATTGATAGCAATAGAAAGTTGATTCATAGTAGTTTAATTTGAAAATGTCTCTCACTAGATGATTTTGTTGTATTTGCATCATCACTTGCTTTGCTATATTGCTAACCATCTTGCAGATGGTTAGCGATATAGTCTGATGTGGTTTCCCATATAGTTATACCATATTGAATTTTCGGTTAAGTACAGTTATGATATAGACATTTTATAGTATTTGTGTTTAGGAAATCCTGTATTTTTCTGATTATGCCAGTAAACTTAGTGACAGTTTTTCGATATGTCTGTTGTATTTGAGTTTATCATCTATTAAAACTTTGAGATATTTTATGCAGTTAATTCTTTCTATCTTCTTAACTGCCTAAAATATCTTGGAGTTTTAATAGATTATAAACTCAAATATGACAGACATATCGAAAATTTAACAAAAACTCTCACTAAGTTTACTGGCATAATCAGAAAAATACAGGATTTTCTAAACACAAATATGATAAAATGTTTATATCCTATCTGTACAGAACCAAAAATTCAATACATTAACATTATATAAATATACAGAAATCAATTTAACTGGCAAATTAACCAAATTATAGAATGGTTTTAAAATAATTATTAAAGTAATAATGTTACATTCTGTACTATACAGTATATACATACATACAAGTAAAGGTTTTGCTATATGGCAAAAAATCTGAGTCTGATTTAATTAAGTAATTTAGGAACAGTTATAAAATAAATGAAATGCAGATAGTATGAAATACAAACTCAACTTTCTCAATGACAAAACTTACAATGTTTTTGCAAAGCTGTTTTCTGTATAGTATGTAGAAAAATACTTTACAAATTTTACTACATTCCATTCATCATAAGATTTTAGATGAAATAAATTTAATTATATCTCATATATAACCTTGTTGTCTCCATTAATAACAGTTTTTATAGCTTATTTTATTCACATATTTCAACTATTATCAGGAAAATAACTCTAATATATTAATAAAACAATAAAAAAATCAAAATAAATATAATCATTTTATTAAGGTGACCAATTGTCCTCCTTTAGAGAGACAGTCCTTTTGTAAGTTCTGTCCTCCCTTGAAAAGTGTCCTCCTACATGTCCTTTTTGATATTTGAAAACTAATCTGTAAATCTCTGTATTCAATCAATGCATAGCTAATGTGTTGTGTGTGATATAACGTGACATGTTTGTATTTGACACAACGATTCATCAAGGCTCGGTACAGTGTGGGAAGATGCAATTATGAGATGCATGTGCTCTGCACAGGAGACCTTGAAAGAGCATGCCACACGCAAGTGGCTTTGATTACTTCTTATCAAAGCACAACATGGCTCACATGCATGCAGTAGAGATTATTATAGTTGCAATGAATAAAATGTTTCTTTTATTTATGATATTTTTTCCTTCAATTTATTTGTGTCCCTTAAAACTTAAAATTAAAATGAACCATTCTTAGAGAACAAAAATTAATTTCTACATTTATTATTTTGGAATATATAGCTTTTAAAATTTTTTTATACCCTGCAATTAATTAGTTGTTGGAATATTAAATAATAATTTAAAAAAATTTTAAATATTTATTTTAAAAAACTATAACCTGAATAAAAAATTAAATGACGAAAACTTACTTTTACTAATTCTAAAACACGTCGAAAATCTACAGGTTTGTCCTTTCCTTCCATAGCAGCTGGATCAAGACCATCCCCACCATAAACAAACTGTACAATATCACCAATAGAATTTCGAACTGTCATATCATAGTGTGAGCATAAATCTTCTAATGACTGTAATTTAATTTATCAAATATAGTATGAAGTAATTGGAAATATAATACTAGTACAAATAAATATTAAAAAAAATAAAACATTTAAAAATTTTTATCAATAAGAATCAATTCTTGGTTAGATTAAATTCTATTTGTAAATAGATTTGATAAAGTTTAAATAATCTGTTTCTTGAGTCTATGACTATATTGTCTCATAGATAAAAATTGAAAAATTTTAAATTATGAAATTTTTGTAAAATAAAACTATAAATTTTGTAAAATTAAATTTAGTTTATAACATCTTCCTTACTTTTACAAGACGTCTCTGCATATATCCTGTTTCTGCTGTCTTTACTGCTGTATCAACCAATCCTAATTAATGTTTTAAAATATATACATTATTAGAATAAAGTAATAACAGTGTTTCCAAACTATATACGTAGGACCCCACTATATGCAACCAATATGTTTCAAGACCTTTTGCATAAGCAGAAGTTCACATAAAATAGCAAACCCTACTAATTATTAAGTATTTCCTATATTAACTTGTCAAATAAATATTATATTAAAAATAAATAGCATAATACTGTAAATCATAATAAATTTTAAAGATGTTTTAGAAACAGACATATTTCTTTTCTCACTAAATATAAAATTTTAATTTTTTTCCTCTAAAGTAGGCACTTTGCAGCTTTTCTTTGGTTTGTCTGAACTATCAGCATCACTACATTGTATTTTGAATCCAAGTGATTGGCATAAATAAAACCAAAAAAAGCATTGATATCATGCTGACAAGAAATGTTACAAGTGAAAACTCCAGACAAAGAGGAATTCAAGTGCCAGTGTTTAGTGCTAAACAATAAAACAAATACAAAATGAACTCAGCAAAAAGAGACCACAGACTTACTACACCACCTAATGCTCATTAAAAAAACAACTGTTTTTTGAATAAATGTTTTCAATCTGTTAACATTTGTTCAATAAGCAGTTTTTTCCTCAGCAAGCATTAGATGGTAAAAGATTATACAAAGAAATAAGTCATAGTAATGCATTCCCAGAATGTAAATGATTATGACTGAGTGAGAGGATGTCAGACTTCATGCACTTTTTAAAAAATGGTGTGGATTTAGCATGCAATTACGAATTTTTATTTTATGTATTTTTTGTTTTTATTTTTTTGTTCACCAATAGTGTATATCTGAAACCTCATGGTGAGTCTGCATATAGTAATCATAATGAAAGGATCTTTAATTATTTTAATACAATTATGCACTTATATATATAATAAATAAATAAATAAATAAAATATACAAATTATCAACTGTATAATAATATAGTATTATATGATTATTATAATACTTGTTAACAAATGAAGTGGCATTACAAAATATGCTACTTTCATTCAGCATTATAATCAAATAAATAAATAAATATATATATGTTGACATATAATACATATATAGATAAAATTTTTCTTTTTAAACAAAGGGACAGTTTAATTCTAAAACTTTTAATGAGAAGCAAGAATGTGAAATAATTCATGCCTATAACCAAAAATTATTTAAGATCAAATTTTTAGGATTAATTTTTTCCACACTAAAGTAACTAGAATTATAAACAGGTAAATGACTTGTTAAACAAAATTAAACAATCCTATCCAGATAAAGGTTTCTTATTATATAACAGCTTAATTATTAAACTTAAATTAATACAATACATTAATAAAGCTATTTGTTGATTAAGACAGTTGTTTATTTGGGACAAATCTTAAAAAACAAATCAAAAAAATAATCAAAATTTGTTCAGTTTTTTTATTACATGAAAGTCACTGTTGATTCACTCAGTAACAAACACAATGTATTCCGAAACTGCAGTGATTTTTATTAGCAGTAACTAGCACTAGAAAAACCAGTCCAAAAATAAAGCATGACAACAAGAGTAAAGGCATTAATAGTCTTCAATCAATGATTCTTTATAACAACAGAACAGGATGTACATGTCCTTAATCCAATACTAAAAACGAAGAGAAATTTGCAGAGAGCTGTCACAAAATTTGAAATATGCTGAACAACAGAAATCCATAAAACTGCCCAACTTATTTTAGTTTTGTGCAGTTGACATCTACTGGTAAAACAGGCAGGTTTTATTGTGCTCCACTAAACAGTCCCAAGCTACAAACAAACAAACAAACAATGTTTGAGTTAAAGAAAACAACATATCATGAAAATGTGTTATACTGTTCAAACATGTCAGAAAGAGTGATAAACAGAAGCTTTTAGTTATTACAAAAAATACTAAGATTCAATGTGTTAATGAGCTCAAGATGAACAATTTAGCATATTTGTATTAACTTATATGGTACTAATAACAATGCATTGATAATTTCTGAAATTTTTAAGAAATTGCTAATGAGTTAGATGTGAAAATCCAGAAAAATGAAAAATTCTGTTGAAGGCCGAGATCATATTAAAGTCCAAGTAATATAATTGACAATGCAAAGGCACAGTAAACAGAAGTTGCAGGTTTATATCCAGCTATGAATCAATTTTTTCTTCTAGAATATTCTGAATTAATTAACTTATTTCTAATTGCTAAATTTAATACTGAATAGACAGTGGCTTGCACCTTACTCTAAATTACATAGAATCTTTAAAAATTAATATATTATAGTGCAATTAAAATCCAACAGCATCTTGTGATTATTAATATATGTTAGAATTAGTTTTTTCTGTATTTATATTGTTTATTTTGAAGATAAAATCTCAAAAATATTCAAACATTCAAGTAAATTATTAATGATTTCTGAAAGATTAGATTTTTATTTTTAATATCTAAAAGAAATTATTTTATTTTATTTCTGAAGATATAATTTAATTCTTAATAAAAAAAAATGTTTAATGTAAAAACTTTAAATTAAACTTAATCAAATGTGACTTCAATTTATAAAATTTATTCTAGATGAAATTATTTAGATTTATAATAAAAAATTTTTAGTTTTTATTTACAAATAAGTTTTTATAAATGTAATGAAAATTATAACTGTATTTAAGGAAAGCAGAGAATAGAAAATAATAATTGCACTTATATATGTAAATAAATAATGATGACAATTCAGTTTTCACAAATGATTTGTTACAATGGCCGAGAATAATACATGCAAAGAAGCACAAATACTTTTTATATCAGTATATTCTGAAGAGTAAAAAAATGCAAATTTAAGATTTCATTTCAATAAATAGTTAATAAGATTTATGTTCAATTTAAATTCACTAATATTAATCATAAATCACTAATCATAAATCATTGTTACCTTCTCTTCCTCCCATTGTATGAAAAAAAAATTCTGTTGGTGTTAAACCACTATAAAAACTATTTTGAACAAAACCTTTTGCAGCTGGTGATTTTGCTGAAATTAATAAAACCTTTAATTAATATACATATAATTTCAAATAAAATAATCTCAATAATTATGAAATTCAATGTTATGAAGATAGTATCATCAGTTTATCTAATAGATTAAAATAATGTGCAAGTATCCCTCATAAGACACAGTAGTTATGTTCCAAAACAGTGCCATGTTATGCAAATCCATGCTATACAAAACAAAGAACTACTACTAAACATGCGGTTAAGTTCCAAAGTTAACAAAAGTATACTATTCTTTTTTGTTACCAAGAGAAATATGCTTATAAAATCAATCAATAATTAACTAACAATCACAATTAAAAGTACTGTTAAACTTCTTTATGAGAAACCACAATATTAATGTGTAATATCCTCTATAAGCTGAACTCTGTGTTTGTGAGGTCTCTCTGCTCACTCAAAAAGTCCAGTTACAACTGATCAAATATCTTTATTTTTTCTTTTCAGAAAAACATTACATACGCATTTCAGATCAAAGTGTAATTAACACTGAAGAAGGATAGTTAATTACACTTCAATACGAAATGCATGTCATGTTTTTCTGAAAAGAAAAAATAAAGATATTTGATCAGTTGTAACTGGATTTTTTGTGACCAGAGAGACCTCACAGGCAAGTGGGGTTTGACTTATAGAGGATATTACCCAAACACACATACAGAAGTTTCATATTACACATTAATATTAATTTTAGTTAAACAAGGACATTTTCTATTTACAAACTATTGTTATCTACTGAGATTTTTTTTGTTGATTTGATCAGAAACATTAGCACCATCTTCATTTTTCTTATTTTTAATCATAAGAAACTTTTATGGATGACAAAATAAAAATAAAAATGTTATTAATCAAAAGTTTGTTCTAGCAGGTTGCATTTGTTCAGTTGAGTACAGAGAGATTTTTTCCAGAGTGTGTGTTCAAATAACAAATTGTTCAAGTAACAAGATACCACTGTATTTCATTTGTCATTTTTATGAATGATTATATCTACAGTTAAAAAAAAGCTTAACAACATTTACTAAAAATGTTTAAATACACTTTATTGAATATGAAGATTCATGTATAAAAATTAAACACAGTGACAGTCTTAAAGAATAAAGTCTAAACACAACAATTATGACTGGTTGATAGAAATGCTAGGACAAGGAAAAAAAATTGCACTGTCAGTTTTCATTCAAGTAAACCTGACAAAAGGCACAAAACAAATTGAAAATTTCAATATTCTAAAATTTGTAAGCAAATTTAAGACAACATACATGCATCATTCAATAAAATATCAAATAATGGAGTTTGCACTTAAGAGTTGTGAAATTTTGTACAAAGGATTTCCCAATTTTCAATCATGTTAGAGTGAAACTGTGTTATGTTGTACAAGGGATACCTGTATATTATTATTGTAATTAATATAATATTTGATATATTGTAATTTATATAGTCATATTTTAGTTATTTAACATATTGTTCAATTTTTTCAAATTTAAGTAGTGTTCCTTAGAACTTTTTGTTTGTAAAAAACTGAAGTTTTGATGCTTAGATAACGAGGATTANTTTTAAAAGTATAATAAAAAAGTAAATCTAATTATTTTTATTGACTTTGATTTTATTTTTAAAGTTTTACTTTGTTAGGGATTGTTCATAAATTACATAATGCTATTTTTATATTATTCAACCACCATCCCATTTTTTTCCTGTAATGTTCCACAATGCTGCTGCATATACCCACTCCAAAATCAGATAACACATATCCTCAATCTCTTTAATTGTACTGCACAACCTTGGGTACTAAATGTCTCATTATTTTATTAATTACATGTATAACATACAAAGCAGTGATATAAACAGTATAGTCTCCTGTGAAATACTTCAAAAACAAAGTGCATCATTCTGTTACTCAAATTTAATCCCTACACTTTGTAAAAGGGCTAGCAAAATTACAGTTTAATAAAGTAAAAATTACATTACAGATACTTGTCATATCTTCACTGCTTGCCATGTCCAATCAGTAGGAACAACTATTTTCCATTGCAGAGACAATCTTTAGAGGCTATGCCTCTGCACAAATATGTAAAACAGTCTAAAATATCTGCCGGTGACAATCCCAACACACTCAAATTTAATCCCTACACTTTGTAAAAGGGCTAGCAAAATTACAGTTTAATAAAGTAAAAATTACATTACATATACTAGTCATATCTTCACTGCTTGCCATGTCCAATCACCAGGAATAACTATTTTCCATTGCAGAGACAACCTTTCTTTAGAGGCTATGCCTCTGCACAAATATGTAAAACAGTAGTATCTGTAATGTAATTTTTACTTTATTAAATTGTAATTTTGCCAGTCCATTTTACAAAGAAATATTATATTTTTAATTGTGTTGGGATTGTCACCGGCAGATATTTTAGACTGTTTTACATATTTGTGCAGAGGCATAGCCTCTAAAGATTGTCTCTGCAATGGAAAATAGTTGTTCCTACTGATTGGACATGGCAAGCAGTGAAGATATGACAAGTATCTGTAATGTAATTTTTACTTTATTAAACTGTAATTTTGCTAGCCCTTTTACAAAGTGTAGGGATTAAATTTGAGTAACAGAATGATGCACTTTGTTTTTGAAGTATTTCACAGGAGACTATACTGTTTATATCACTGCTTTGTATGTTATACATGTAATTAATAAAATAATGAGACATTTAGTACCCAAGGTTGTGCAGTACAATTAAAGAGATTGAGGATATGTGTTATCTGATTTTGGAGTGGGTATATGCAGCAGCATTGTGGAACATTACAGGAAAAAAATGGGATGGTGGTTGAATAATATAAAAATAGCATTATGTAATTTATGAACAATCCCTAACAAAGTAAAACTTTAAAAATAAAATCAAAGTCAATAAAAATAATTAGATTTACTTTTTTATTATACTTTATTTTGTTATTACAGCTAAAACTATTTGAAATAAATTTATGTGAATATTGTATAAGAATAACACTAACATATATTGAATTTTTATTTATATATAGAAATAATTTAATGTAGGAAAAAAGGAAGAGATAGTAGTAACAAATAAACTTAATATTAATATAATAAAACTATGTTATCTGATATTTTACAATCCAGATTTTATATTTATTATATTAATGGTATTATATATTATTAACAATACTTATTTTAACTTAACATTGATTGACTATATTATACACTAACTTACTCAACTGTTATATATTATAATAAGCTTTATCTAATCTTTTTGTTTAATCATTATACATTAAGTCATTCCATACCATAAAATTTGGAGTGATTTTCATAGTGTTTCTTGTAATATAAATATATTATTACTTACAGTGACGATCAAAGTGTGGCAAGGAACGATCTTCAAACCCATTTGGAACACGATGTCCACTTATGGCCTGTTGTCCTACACATGCAATCATTTGACTGATGTTAATAAATGATCCTGCATAAGAAACAATATTGTAATTCACTGTTTTATTGGTAAACTTAATATAAAAATTAATAAGATTAAAGAAATCATAATGATTGTATAATTTTAAAATAAAATCATTATATTAATCAGAAATGAAACTGTGTAATGTCAATAATATAAATTTGATTTGATAAATGAGTAAGTTATTATTCTTAATCTATCTTTTGAAATTTGTGTATTACTATAAATAATCGAAATTCTCGTCAGTTTATCTAATAGATTAAAATAATGTGCAAGTATCCCTCATAAGACACAGTAGTTATGTTCCAAAACAGTGCCATGTTATGCAAATCCATGCNTTTCGCATATGGACATTTTCCTCAAAAACAAGCTTTACCTTATTTTTTACTTTCCAAATACAACCGCGTGTTACGTCATAAGTAAAAATCCAAAAATCTGAATATTCAATAAAAAAATATTACAGAATAAATTCAATCATTATTTCAGATACTGCATTTATTGTCTGTTTAATTAAGAAATGTTATTGTTGTTATTTTTAAGCTTTATGACTTCTTATTAGTTGTTGTTTATAATTTAGTTATAATTATATACATAACCATTGTTATTTTAGTCAAAATGTGTTTTTAAATATCTTATTTGAAACATATTTAAGTTTAATGTTTTTTGATGTCACAAATATCAATATATGCAACTGTTTTCTATTATAGACTTTGAATTCTAACTTGATAATGGTGCTAAAAGTTGCTGAAAACATTTATTATGAGTTTGTTGTTATATATACTGTACATTTTTGATTTCATAATAGTTAGTACAGGTATTAATATTATTGATGTTGCAGTTTATATTGTAATTTTTTCTGTTAAATATTATAAATAGCTTTTATGAAACAGAAATTTGGAATGTAATACAAAATATTTGATTTTTTTCTAATTCCTTTGTATATATTGTAAAATTAATTTATTTATTTTCCATTTTAACCTGAATATATATCTAACTAATCTAAATTACATCATCTATAACTCAAAAGTACACTTTTTAAAATTTTTTTAATGAGATGAAATTAATAATCACTTATGTATTAATATTACATTTGATTTCATTTATTACATATAATAATAAATTAGTATATTATTGTATCAGAATAATATACACTTATTTAAGTTTAAATTTAAAAATAAACAATGTTTATAAAACTAAAAATTATTATTATTATATACCTCTAAAGTTTCTTCTTCTGTACATCCTGGCTGTGCTTGTAATTTGCCTTCTTTTAAATTTTGAATGTATTCATCACATTTAGCATAACTTTAAAAAAAATCTTATTTTTAAATTCTTTAAATATAATACACACTAAAAATTTATTAAACTTATTATTTAAAATATTTTAAGTAATTTTTTAGGTCACAAAATTTTAAACTTAGATTTGTAAATGTAATAATTTATATTAGCCATAACACTTATAAATAATTGTAAATTATTATTTTTTAATATAAAATTTTGTGTCAGGGTACAAATAACATAGAATAAACAAATATTATATATAATAATATTACATTATAAATAACCAGATAATACATTGTATATTTACAATTGATCAAATGTGATAGTAATAATGTCATATTACAACATTAAAATCATAGAATGAAAAACAATTTAAGAAGTATGATCTCTTGCACTTGTTTTTCAATGCAAGAGATCATACTCATGAATTGGTCTATTTAAAGAAAAACTTCACTAATCTTAAAAGTAAATTGGATTTCAGATATATACATTAACAATTTTCTATTTATATACCAAAAAGACTGATAAAACAAATAGTAGTAATTAAGTAATTATAACATAATTAATTTATCTTTGTATTAGTTCATCTGTTTCATATGATTAAAAGATAATTGTAATTCTTAACTGCATTCTTTAATAGCATTATGTAAAAACATGGCTTAAAAATTTTGACAAATCGAATAAAACATTTTAACGACTTTAATTTTGCATTTATAGCACTATATTCACAACATAATTTTGTCCAATTACATTATAAACATTTTTTTTTGTCAGTAGTATTTTTATTAAGCAGAAAAATGTTTTCAAATATAAATTGAAATTGTTAAATAGAACACTAACAAAAAATAAGATTTTTCAAAGTCAAAAAGTGCAATGTTTAATTCAGATATATCTATAATAAAATTATTACAAGATCTTTTTATGATACACACTTGGCACATGATATAACATGGGTGTAAAGGTACAAAATTCTGTGTTTATCAAATTATATTAAGAATCAAAATTAAAAATTACTCAAAATAGAATTTAAATCCAAATCAATGATATGGTTGATAGCAAATAATGAAGAGAATACAGAACATGGAGGTCAGAGGGGAGTATTGCTAGACACTTTGTTTCTTGAGAACAAATAACACATAAAACTGAATGAATCATTTTTGAAACAAAACAGGTTTGATAATTAGATACAGAAAATGGTAACAAATAATTAAAAATTTATAATCTTTAAAAGTTTACCTTATTAAAAAAATCACGTACTAAGTAAAAATGACTAAAGTTTACTCAAAAGACAAATACAGTAGAGCGTCGATTATCCGAATCAATTGGGGACTGGAGTTGTTCGGAAAATCGATATTTCGGATAACTGATTATGTATGAAAAAATATATTAACCTATCCCATGTTGAAATTTTTCTCNGAAGAATATTTTCTAGAATATGAAAAATATAATTCACATGCATGTGAAATAAATTTTAAAATTACAAAATTCTATAATAAAATGTTTTATTTCAAAGTACATAAATTTTTTTATCCAGAATTCAATTTAAAGTACCAAAAATAATCTATCTTATGAATAAATACATATAAAATATATTTTTGAAATAAAAAAATTTATCAAATTAGTTACTTATTTAAATTTTATGAATAACAAACCTTTAGATCCACAAAGAGCCATAATCAATGGACTGTTACTTTTTGGTAATTCCTTCAGACAAGATTTACCAGCATGATCTCGAATCACTGATAATTCTTTTAAAATTACAGCCTAAAATATTTCATCAATTAATTATTTTTAATCAAAAATATTTTTTTTTAACTAAATTATAGATTTATTGTAGTTAAAATGTAAATTTCGCAAATCCAAAAATCTGAATATTCAATAAAAAAATATTACAGAATAAATTCAATCATTATTTCAGATACTGCATTTATTGTCTGTTTAATTAAGAAATGTTATTGTTGTTATTTTTAAGCTTTATGACTTCTTATTAGTTGTTGTTTATAATTTAGTTATAATTATATACATAACCATTGTTATTTTAGTCAAAATGTGTTTTTAAATATCTTATTTGAAACATATTTAAGTTTAATGTTTTTTGATGTCACAAATATCAATATATGCAACTGTTTTCTATTATAGACTTTGAATTCTAACTTGATAATGGTGCTAAAAGTTGCTGAAAACATTTATTATGAGTTTGTTGTTATATATACTGTACATTTTTGATTTCATAATAGTTAGTACAGGTATTAATATTATTGATGTTGCAGTTTATATTGTAATTTTTTCTGTTAAATATTATAAATAGCTTTTATGAAACAGAAATTTGGAATGTAATACAAAATATTTGATTTTTTTCTAATTCCTTTGTATATATTGTAAAATTAATTTATTTATTTTCCATTTTAACCTGAATATATATCTAACTAATCTAAATTACATCATCTATAACTCAAAAGTACACTTTTTAAAATTTTTTTAATGAGATGAAATTAATAATCACTTATGTATTAATATTACATTTGATTTCATTTATTACATATAATAATAAATTAGTATATTATTGTATCAGAATAATATACACTTATTTAAGTTTAAATTTAAAAATAAACAATGTTTATAAAACTAAAAATTATTATTATTATATACCTCTAAAGTTTCTTCTTCTGTACATCCTGGCTGTGCTTGTAATTTGCCTTCTTTTAAATTTTGAATGTATTCATCACATTTAGCATAACTTTAAAAAAAATCTTATTTTTAAATTCTTTAAATATAATACACACTAAAAATTTATTAAACTTATTATTTAAAATATTTTAAGTAATTTTTTAGGTCACAAAATTTTAAACTTAGATTTGTAAATGTAATAATTTATATTAGCCATAACACTTATAAATAATTGTAAATTATTATTTTTTAATATAAAATTTTGTGTCAGGGTACAAATAATATAGAATAAACAAATATTATATATAATAATATTACATTATAAATAACCAGATAATACATTGTATACTTACAATTGATCAAATGTGATAGTAATAATGTCATATTACAACATTAAAATCATAGAATGAAAAACAATTTAAGAAGTATGATCTCTTGCACTTGTTTTTCAATGCAAGAGATCATACTCATGAATTGGTCTATTTAAAGAAAAACTTCACTAATCTTAAAAGTAAATTGGATTTCAGATATATACATTAACAATTTTCTATTTATATACCAAAAAGACTGATAAAACAAATAGTAGTAATTAAGTAATTATAAAATAATTAATTTATCTTTGTATTAGTTCATCTGTTTCATATGATTAAAAGATAATTGTAATTCTTAACTGCATTCTTTAATAGCATTATGTAAAAACATGGCTTAAAAATTTTGACAAATCGAATAAAACATTTTAACGACTTTAATTTTGCATTTATAGCACTATATTCACAACATAATTTTGTCCAATTACATTATAAACATTTTTTTTGGTCAGTAGTATTTTTATTAAGCAGAAAAATGTTTTCAAATATAAATTGAAATTGTTAAATAGAACACTAACAAAAAATAAGATTTTTCAAAGTCAAAAAGTGCAATGTTTAATTCAGATATATCTATAATAAAATTATTACAAGATCTTTTTATGATACACACTTGGCACATGATATAACATGGGTGTAAAGGTACAAAATTCTGTGTTTATCAAATTATATTAAGAATCAAAATTAAAAATTACTCAAAATAGAATTTAAATCCAAATCAATGATATGGTTGATAGCAAATAATGAAGAGAATACAGAACATGGAGGTCAGAGGGGAGTATTGCTAGACACTTTGTTTCTTGAGAACAAATAACACATAAAACTGAATGAATCATTTTTGAAACAAAACAGGTTTGATAATTAGATACAGAAAATGGTAACAAATAATTAAAAATTTATAATCTTTAAAAGTTTACCTTATTAAAAAAATCACGTACTAAGTAAAAATGACTAAAGTTTACTCAAAAGACAAATACAGTAGAGCGTCGATTATCCGAATCAATTGGGGACTGGAGTTGTTCGGAAAATCGATATTTCGGATAACTGATTATGTATGAAAAAATATATTAACCTATCCCATGTTGAAATTTTTCTCTGTTGCGTGTCGCTTTGCGTTGAATTTTTGTNCTTTTCCAATGTAGTTTTTATATATATTATGTTTGTTATGAATATGTCTATAATGAATAAAATTTCATTTTGTTTATGAATAAATGAATGAATAATTCCAAACTGTAAGATTGTAGATTGTTTAAACTGTATTTACAATACTGTCATAGTATGTATTACTTTCTAATAATGTCTATAATATATAACTGAGTTATAATGATGTGCATTTGTAATGCAAACTTTAGCATTTGTCATTTTATTGTGTGTATGTAAGTTATTTGCATGTGCATCCAGGTGTAAAGTAATATTGTTTCCTGTATAATAGAAAATTTTCTGCACGTGTCATCTATAAATTTGGTATCCTTTAATATTTTTTTTTACTGTAAATTTTATAATTGATCACCCCGTANAAAATATTTGAGTAGCCCAAGACATAGCCAAAGATTGTAGCACCACAGCACTGGCAAAAATTTAAATTTGCCAACTGGAATTCTTTTGGATAATTGACGTTTCGGATAATTGACTTTCGGATAATTGACGCTCTACTGTAAATACATATTATTATATAAATCCATTTTTAAAAAATATTATAAAAATGTGAATTATGTTAAAAGAACTAATGTCATACAAAGACCAATAATTTCAGCATTAAATAGTTAATTTAGTTGAATTGCAATGGCAGTCTGAAGGAGTACTATTTGATATGTACATGGAAACCATTGAAATTCAAAGCTAAAAAGCAAAATGTTAAAGCTGAAAAACCAAACTAATATTTAGTTGAATTGCAACACAAAACTTACACACAAAAAGCATGACATCAAAATTAGGATCCAACCTCATACCCCATGTTGTAAGCAATACCACATTCTATTTACCTGCACTTATTGGATCCCAAAATTAGTTCAATTTCAAATTTCAAGTCATTAAGACCTTTTTTATATATTTAATCTTAAATCTCTAAACAAAATAACAAAAAACATAATTCTTGTTTACAGAATAATAGTTTTATAACCAAGAATGTAATTTTATTATAAATATACAAATAACATTTATTAGATATAATAATATGAACCATCAAAATCAACTTAAATAAAATAAAAGAAATAATACAATTATCATTTTCTTTTGTTTTATTTCTTAAAAAAATTATCAGTAAGAGAAACATAAAATATATGTATTTCTTCTATTCACTAACATAAAAGAGCTAAAAAATTAAAATTAAACATAAAACCAGAAATAATTAATTATTTGAAATCATGTAAATTTTTAAGTATATTTGATAAATTTCTTAACAGTTAAAATGAAATTTTATAGTCAAAATTTGGAAGATCTGATAAATGAAAGACATGCATATTATTTTTGTAATCAATGAAAGTTTGTGTTTAAGTAAGTAATAGGGTTTTTAATTTCAAGAATTAAATAGAACAATCTTCATTACTTAATTATCATCAACTATATCTGAAAATATTTGAATATTTCATTTACCCAGCATCAAGCAGATTATGTTTTGCTTTTAAAAGTCCAACACCAGGAGTTACATCTCCAATTCCAATTGAAAAGCCACGATTTGCTGTAAATGAAAACGTTATTGAAATTAATTTTTAAATATCTTATTTCTACAATTTTAGAATAACTAAATATAAGAAAGTAAATTTTATATAATTTATAAATTGAGAAGTTTCACAACTTCTCAATTTATAAATTATATAAAATTGATAAATTTACACATTTAAATTCTTTTGAAAAATATTGTAAATAAAACTTGATCCTGTAGCTTTATTTTTTTGCCTATTGCCAATAGTAAATATGTTCTGCATATAAGACAAAAAAATAGTTGCCTTTTTATAGATTTTATGCTAAAATATTATATATTTAAGGAATTTTAATAAATATGCTTTGCAAAAAACTCAAAATTTTATGGTTCTGTTTTTAGTTTTATGACAAGCCCATAAAATATGATGATACAATACCTTTAATGAGATGAGAATCATTAAGTGTTCTTATCTTATTGTAAATAATGACAATGTGATTTTATTTAATTTTCAAGTAAAATTATTTATATATGAAAATTTTTTAGCAACAAGAGGAGCCTCATAAATGTATTTCATGGATTTAGACCAGCACTAAAAAGCACTAGCATACTCTGAGACACTCAAATATATCTCTTATAAAGCAATAGGTACCAATTTTTATGTATATATATATATATATATGTTATTGTTTTTGAAAAAATTAACACTTTTTTATTTCAACTAAACTTGAAATACCTCAAATATTTAATTGTAAGTAGAAGTTTTTGCAAAACCTAGTGCACTCATACATGGAACCTATACTTGATCTAATATTTTCAGCCAAATAATGTACTTACAAACAAAGAGTATAATTAGGAACATAGTCGGCAAACACACAAGTATAGAATCTATATGCAAGTATACTATACTTCCTGCAACAACTCTACTGCTTACTGACTAAGAAATGTTCAATGTATAGATATGAAAACTACAGGAACTCTCCTACTTACAAATGTTCAAATTATGAACATTCAGACTTATGAACAATTTGACCATAGGTCTTAAACTTTAAAAAAATTTATTTTTGCACAGATTCTGAACTTCTTTTGCTGGCTTTGGGGTTTTGAAGTCACTTTTTAGCCAGTAATAAATAATTAATGTAGATTTATTTTTATTATGTATTGCCATTTTTAACTTTTACACAAATTCTGATGTTTCATTGCTGCTGGTGAGGTGGTATCAAGTTGGTAATGTTGGTGTGACAGCAGTTTTCCCAATTGTTTTCAATTTTTATAAACTTTTACGATTAGTGCTACAAAAATGCATCCAAATTGTAATAGTAAATCTAACATTGGAGATGAGTGATGCTCTATTATCTTGGAAACTAAATTATAAAACTAAGTGTCTTAGGTGAAAAAAACCACATTTGAAACACCTGCTACTAAGCAGTAGCAAGCAGGTAAAGCATAAGGTATTCTATTAAGTACAGTGAAGGATCAAACATTAACAATATGTGGTTATTCAGTGCACAAATATACTTTCTAGATTAGTTTTTGACTTATGATAAAATCTCAGAAACCTAAACGTTTTGTAAGTAGGGGAGCATCTATACTTGTTTTTTCAATATCTATTGATTTCCCAGATCTGAAAGCAATCCATAGTCATGACCTAAAATCATGATTTTCTTAAACAAAACACAGAAGTGGGATATATAACTTTATAGCAGGTATCTTTTAGTGCTCCAGAATAACCATATAAAGGTGAATGTAAATCTGTGAAATATGTTTCTGAGCCTCTCCTTCTGGGGCATGTTATAAAAACTAAAGCCCGGGAAATAAAAGGTTAATAATTGTTACAAAAGATTAAAATATTTTTTGATTCAAGTATTGATATCTTTCAACTTTATGATGAACAGTTTTCTCACTTAACATCAACTGCGTTCTTGAGTAGAAAAAATAATGGGTATATTTTGTTAAATTTTCATATCCAAAATATTTTCATATTTTGGATATGAAAATTTAACAAAATGACTTTATATAATGTATTGTGATATAAAAATAGTGTATGTACACATTTAACTTTATTATTTTTATTTCATTAATATTGAATGATGTTTATTTTATAACATCATTCAAACACCTTTTTCCATTAAGCATCTGTAAATACACTTAAATTACACCTAAAAATAATATTTAAAACATAATTTTTTATGAAAACAAATATTTAAAAAAATTTTTGTAATTCTAGATTAATGTTATTTCTTTTAGTAGCAGTTTCTATTTCCAATCTACTTCCAAAGACATAAATTAAGATGGAGCAATTAATTGTTAAATTCAAAGCAAATACAGTTTAACCCGATTATAACATCATCCATGGGACCAGCAATTTTTTGATGTTATAACCAAGTGTCATTATCTGCAGGGTCATTTCAGTGCCATAAAAAGTACCAAGTGTGTTTAAGAATCTACTATAAAATCCATTCTAATTTAACATCGTATGTATTACCATAAAATTATTTCTTAATGGTAATACAGTATACTATATCTATTATGGTAATAAAAATTTTTTTTATCGTATGTATAAAAGTGCAAACTAAATGTTTAAATCAACTTTATTTACATTATTATATCTAAGTTTACATTGATGTAATTAAAAATTTCAAAAATTACCTTTTATATGAAATTTCTATTTGTCTTAAGTTTCAATAATGGTGGCACTTATGGTTTTAAGAATAATGTTGAATCAAAAGGCAACAAAAAGTTAAACTAATGTATGCCAATTAAAAAGACACAATAACAATATTCACTTAAAAAAGTCAGTTATTTTAGATTGTAGGTGTTTTTCACCTAACAATTGATTATCAATGTCATTTTCTAAATCATACACTATTCATTATTTTTTATGAAGTTTTCTGAGATCTGTAAAACATTTTCAATAATCTTATTGCATTACATGCTTCCCTGGTTGATGGCACTTCATTTTCTCTGTCTGATGTTTTATCTTCATCATCCTTATTTTTTTCATCTGAAGATTTAATTTGCTCAACAATATCTGCATCTGTATAAAATAACACGAGTAACTATGCAGACTAACCAATCGTCAATGTCCTTTAAAGATGTGATGAACCTCACCCACCGAAGTCAGGTGGTGAGAGTACCCATCCACAGTTGTTCTAGGAAGTGGACTCTGATCCTAGAAACTGAACACAGAGAACATGTACTGTATTTTTTTTGTTAAATAAAATTCATAATCTAATTTTGTAAATCTGGGAGTGCTTTAAATATGACATTAAAACAAGGTTTTATGTCATTACAGTGAGTTTTTTAACATTATCTAGTATAGCAAAATCATGAGACCGATAAAAATTTGATGTTATATTAGGGTTGTCATTACATCCAATGACGTTATAATCAGGTTAAACTGTATGTTAACTTCTTATTTCTGTTGATCTCCCACTCCCCAACAATTGAGTCTTTGCTTTACACTCTGCATGAGCATAATATTACATTACCATCACTGATAGCAGCTTATTCGGTGGTTCCCCATTTGCACTTTTCTGATTTAATCCAGTTGCAGTTTGATAGCAACTGTGTAGAAACAAATTTTAAGTTTTTTTTTATTATCCATACTCACTAATAATGGAAAAACAGTTTACATGTGATGCTGAATTCAAAAGAAAAGTTATATTGTGTACTGAAGAAATTGGAAATCATGCAGTCTGTAAAAGATTTACGGTTGACAAAAAGAACGAGCATCATTGGAGAGCCATGAAGGAAAAGTTATTTCAGTGTAATAAAGGCAGAAATTCATTCTCAGTGCCTAAAAAAGTAAAGATATCCTGCAATTGATGCAAATCATATANTGGCCTCTTAATTATCTAGCATACCCTCCAATGTGATCACCTATGTGCTTCTGTTTTCATGAAAATGTCAATCATATCACACATCCTGTTTATTTGTGTACAGTATTGAATGATAGCATGCTATATTATTTGCCTGTCTGCTTCCAAACAGAATCAGCAAAGAATAGTGTCATTATTCACTGTCTTTTGGTTCATACGTTCTCAGTATTCCAGCATATCTTTCTGTGCAAGAAATGGCTAGATTAGCAAGAGTCTAATGTATGTTAATGTAATCTGTAATTTCATATTTTAAATTAAATCTTATAAGAAGAATATTTTCTAGAATATGAAAAATATAATTTTGTAAAAAAAAATTTAGTTCCAAAAATCNAAAATCATTTTTATTTTTTATTATTTTTTCCAATTTTAAATTCCTACTGCAACTTAAATTCCAAGTAATACGGTAGTATGATATTTTTTTTAATCATATTGACAGTATTTTACTTTTTATATATTTTTAGACATTTTAGTACAATTTGCATCAATTCTCATATTTTAAATACAATAACAAATTTCTTTACAATATAAAATATATTCTCTACAGCTGGAACTTCTTTTAAACACACAACATTTGCTTCTTATTATATCAAATTGCTGGAAACATGCTGAAGATTAGTGCAATATTTGTTTATGTGTTTCCTTAAAATAATAAAATGAAGAAAATTTGACTATATCAACTTACCAAGAAAATATGAAGTAATTCTTGCTAATCTCCACATAGCATCAGCAGCATATCTTTCTCCATAGTCTCTTAAAAGTATGTAAAATATGTTATTTTTAGATCCAGATCCTAATGTTCCTTTATCCATGGCACCAGCCAATAGCTCACTGTTTCGTATCAGAACAACTAGCAAAAGAGAGAAATATATTATTTATGAATAAATTTATATATTATCTGAGTGATTATATATTTTAGGCTAAAATATTAAGCCTAAGGGATCCTGCAATATTTTTAGACTAAATTTTAAAATTCTCAAACAATATTTTGTGAGATTACGAGGGCACAGGATCAATACCCTACTTGCCTCTTACATGTCGAGTTGGTAAAACTTGCCCACTTTGTCTTTTGGATGGCTTTTTATCGAGGGGCGAGGGGGTGAGAAAGTCAGAAGGTGTCCATGGTTCGGAGTGACAGGAGACAGGTTTAACAAATAATGAAATAAAGGTTTATTATACGGCTAACACTAAAATACAGAGTTAAATGCATATATCTCTAGGTTATATAAGCTAGATGCAATTAACATAAGATTACAAAGTCTATAATTGACAACTGCTTAGTCTACTCTATGACAGCTATGACTACTTCCGTTACGAGAGAGAGTTTGTAGTCTGCTGATAATTATCTCTAAAGTTGGAGGAGTGCTATATGCGGTAATAACAGTTCTTTATGGAAGCATTGGGCGCTGTCGATGTCTTCTACCAGTGTCTTCTCTGAGGACTAGGTCAAATCTGTTGCATGGAGATGCGGGAGATGGGGAACCAATAAGACCAAATATAACTTCCGTGTGCAAACTCTTGAGTTTCCGATGGCTCGCACCTTTTATATGATTGTTGTGGGAAATCTAAGACGTGATTGACCTTTGTTGACGATGATGGTGCAATCTTGACAGCCACTTGTCAACTTTCCCACTGACTTGTTACTACAACCGGTGACCTCTGATCTAATTTCTACCTCTCCATTTTTTTCTAATGAAGATGTTTACATTTTGAAAACAATTAACATCAATTTTTGATTTTAAGAGCCCCATAAAAATCTGCAGGCTCACAATTTTATTGTTTGAAATTCATATATTATCTTAAAAAATTTAATGAGAATCAAGTCCATTAGACCACAGTGATAGATATTTTCTCTTGTTATTTTAACTTGTGTACTTATGCCATTGTTCTTAATTTAAAGTCTCAAGAATAATTTCAATAAATTAAAAAAATTTTTTTAATGATTTTATTGATCATGTTTTTCAAAATTGGAAGTGGAGGCTGATGGAGGTGCTACCGCCTCCACTATATACATCAGTACAATACATTTATATGCACACAAGATGAAATTCTACATTTGGAATGGATGATGGCAGGGTGGCGACACCTCCTTAGACATCACTAAAACACATTATCATGGGACTTAGAAGACTGAAACTTTGAGGATATTCTTATCTTAATTAGAAGTGGATGAAATTTAAGTTCCAAGACTTGAAGACATGATTCAAAGCAAGTTAAATTAAAGTGTTTAATAATAATAAAAAAAGTCTTGCATTCAATCAAGAGTGCAACACCACTTTTCTACAGGTGAGGAATCTCAAACAAATATACCAATATTAAATTTTAAAAATCCAGCAATGAGTTTACTTAACTTTTCCAGCAACATTTGATGGCACCATTTGTTATGACACACCTAATTTTATTTTAAAAACTTATATTTTTAACTATTAAAAATGGCAAAAAACTTAATTTTGAGGATAGGGATGGGTTTTATAAAAATTTGTAAATGCTAATAACAAGTAAAATCATCATTAAGTCCGACTCTACTGAAGATACGACACATGATCCCCTTTATCACCTCACCCTTTGACCTTTAATCACCAAAATTTAATAGCATCAATACCCAAAACACAAATTTCCCTGCAAAATTTCAGAAATTTTTTACAAAATGCACAGGAGTTATTACATTAAGCTTCAAAGAGGATGAACAAAATCGTGTCCCTCCACACACACTAACACCAATACATAAAGAAAAAATTTCTGTATTTTTTTTGCATTTTTCAATGTTTCAAGGTCCTGAGTTCATGTAAGAATCTAGGGGGGAATCATTTTTTTTACTATACTTTCTCTCTGTTACATATAACAGTTAGGAAAGTAATATATAAGTATATATTATTTCTGTTGAAAATCCATAGCCTTGAACTAAATATTTTTATATTAGATGAATTTTCTTTCTAATCACTTAAGCTTTACCTCAGTGTTTTTCAAGCTTCTAATAGTAGCACCATAAATAGCATTTTATTTGCAGTACTACCACTTCTTTTTCAATGTAGAGTTATTGAGCTTATCACACTCTTAGTAATACATGTAAGTGTTATGGTACTGCTTAGCACCTACATTTTGCAGCACCCCTAAAATGTCATTGCAATACCCAAATGTGTTACAGCAACTCAGTGGGAAACCACTACTTTATCTAAAGCAAAGCAGTGGTTTTAAACTAAAAAAATGGGATGATATTACTACAATTCAAATAAAAACTTAATAAAAATTTTCATTGAGATATAAGAGTATATTTTAAAACTTCAAAGGATGAAAGCATAAGAAAAAGTTAAAAACTATTCATTCTATTTTATATTAAGAAACATTGTGAATGTCAGAGTTATGTTTTACATGAAAGTTTTAATTATTTAATTACATGAAAGTTTTTCTTTTATACTTACAAATCAACAATGTAATCTAAACAAAAAGATTCCATCAGCAAAATATCTAGAAGATCAAAGAAAGTGATATGCCATAAAGATGAAATTAAATTACTAGATTGTTTGCAAAAAAAATTTGACAGTTATGGTTACTTGCAAATTAATCATAAATTAATCTACCATAAAAGTCATAAAAAAATAATAAAAATAAATTAGAAATTCAGCAGAAAAATTTCTTCATATAAAACATATTTTAATCTTTTAATTCTTTATTTTTTCAATTCCTTTAATCTTACTTTTTCAATATATTTTGCCTTTCCATATTCATGAAAGTTTTGCAAAACATAACTCCACAATTACAAAACTTCTATTTTTATTTTCTTATTAAAAGACTGCAAAAGAACCTTAAACATCATTTTCATTTGTCAAAGTATAATTTCATTACATTAACATTGAGAATAATTTACAGATTAAATATAAATTTTAGTATTAATTTATGTAATAGAAGTTAAAGAACCCAAAAAACAATTTTCTGAATAATTATATAATCACAATACAAAATTCATCAACTAAATTGACAAAAATTATTACTACAATTTTAAAAATACTTACAAGAATCATTTATGCAAAGTTCTTCATTTGATGTATATGATTTTCCTTTAGCGCGTAAATTTGCAAGTATTGGATAACATTTACTTGGTCGTAAAATTAAACTGAATATCTGTTTTCCGGTCCACAAAGCAACAGGCTAGAAAATTATCAAATTGAAAGTAATGTTATAAAAATTATTATTATTATTATTATTATATAACTATGAAAGAAATTATAGATTATACAACTGCTTCACAATTACCTCAATAATTAATATAAATATGATATTAAACAACACTCTTGTGAAAATCAGATAAACAAATACAATAAGATCTCAAATTATGTAATCCTACTATCACACTGTAGACATGAATGATAGAATGTGCTACATTAACAGTTTCCCTATACGAGGGTAATCCCAAAAGTAAGGTCTCCTATTTTTTAAAAAATACAAAGAAACGTTTATTTTCAATAATGTTACATCATTTTAAAGCTTGAACATTTATCTATTTTCTATATAATTGCCATTTCAGTTGATGCATTTTTGTAGGTGCAGTGACCATTTTTGTATACCCATGTCAATCCAGCTCGCCACCATGTCACGTTAAACCAATTGAAATTCATTGCCAATTGATGGAAGTGTATGACGAGTCATGAATGGATGTCAAAAACATCTGCAAGTGGTGTAGGGAGTTTGCAGCTGGTCATACTGAAATTCACAACGAAGAAAGAAGTGAGAGATCATCAATTTCCAATGAGACAGTCATGAAGGTTGAGCAAACGATGCGTGAAAATTGGTGGATCACTCTGGACAATTTCTGTATTTTGATTCCTGAGGTAGCCATTCATAAGATTTTAACAGAAAAGTTGCAATATCAGAAGGTGTGTGCAAAATGGGTCCCACGACATGGACATATAAAAACTGCCACTGTGTCTACAAAAATGCATCAACCAAAATGGTAATTATGTAGAATAATAAATAAATGTTCAAGCTTTAAAATGATGTAAACATTATTGAAAATAAATGTTTCTTTGTATTTCTAAATAAATAGGAAACCTTACTTTTGGGATTACTCTTGTATAAAATTTAACATGAATAAAATACACCTTTAACAATCCAGCAAATAAATTATTTTAGTAACAGTCAAAAACGTTTTTATACTTTTAGACCGTTTTTTTAATGATCATGCGAACACATTAGCTAACGCATGGCAGTCTTTTTATGAGAATTAATGTTTTTTAAGGGACATTGTTTATTTTAATTTAATTTTATTTTATTAAGTGACATTTTCAACTTAGTTTATATTATTTTATCGACAACAACTACATTTTCCATTATTTATTTTATCTTGGAATTCTTATTTTCATATTTACATTCTATTTTAATGTTCTATTTTATATTAACTGAAGAGCTTTAAAAAATGGTCAAAAACATTTTTATATTACTAAAATAATTTATTTGCTGGATTGTTAAAGTTGTGTTTTATTCATATTATGGTTATCCAGTATGTACATTACATGTAAATAAAATTTAACACGAATAAAATATAATCAGTTTAGATAAGCTAAAATTAAAAACAAATAAAGGTTTTTGTGGAAAGGGCTTAATTCTTGAAAGGTTCTTGAAAACATAAGATGAAGAAAGCAAGGAAGGAAGGAAGAAAACTGAACAGTTAAATAAAAATAGCTTTATATAACTGGATTGCTGTATAGAGAAGAAATAGCTGGTTCAAACAGCTGAAAAGAGAGAATTGTTATATTTAATTTAGCTTCAGTTCCACAATTCCATGTTTAAGTTTTAGTTTTTAAGTAAAATTCTTGGTGTGAATTAAAATAAAACTTTGTTAAGTAAAGTTTTGTCATCTTATCAGTGACCATGTGAATACATCTAAAACTGTACATCAAGAGAATTGAAAAATGTTCAATGAATTAAATAAAAGGAAATCATAATTACTGATGAAATATGGTATAATGCAAGAGAAATCTTCCATTCTGGCATTACACTGTATTGAAAATAACATGTTAATGTTTATGTTAGTAGCAAATTTATAATATCAGAATTGTTTTCCCATATTATAATTATAATTAATAAATCAACTATTCATACTTAATATTCAATTTTCATTTTTTGGCTATCTTTATATTTCTGTTTCAATAAAAATTTCAAAAAGAATTCTGCAAATAAATTGAAAATAGTGCCATCTTTCAAGATCCGACAGATTCCAATGATGATAACAGCACAAAGATTTGACAAGGTGGCCTATTGAGTAGGAACAAGAGAATTCAAGTTTTCACACATTGGAACATGTTTTCTGGAAAAATTCAGTTAGTGAACATTCTGGACAAGTTGAGACATGTATGCCAACCAAGGTAAACCCGAAGGAGAGTCCAGCTCTGGATTAATCTGCCAACAAATCTAAAAATTAGATATAAGGCAATGTAACCATTAGAAGAACAGAAACAAGCCTGGACTAAGAATGTGTTGTTAGAAGCAAGCAAGAAGTATTGCTGTATATATTGTAAATAGTTGTCAAATATATGGTCTTAATCTGAGTTCAAGGATTCATAATATGGTTTTTCTGATGAACCACAAATTCAGAAATGGGATGGCATAGTTGAAAATTTACTTGGGATTTGAGGATTTGTTGGAGATTCAAAATCTATCTCTAATAAATAAATTATACAAGTAATCAAACTCATGAACAAAGCTGTTTTTATTAAAATTGCCATATAAAAGTTCAAACTTAAAAGAAAGTGCTTTATTAGCTTGTTATAAAGCTCATCTTCAGATTATCACATTAAAACAGTATCTTACTAATCATATTCAAATGCAGATGCAGAATTTAAATTTTTTTAAC